TTGTTGTCACCCTGGAGCGGATTTTCCAATGCCAATTTGGGCGTGAACACTCGTTTATGCCATTTGGTGTGTGTGTGTCCTGACGAGGTGAGCTGGGCTGAGGGGTTCGTGATTCAAAGGTGAGCGTTGTGAAGGTTCGCAGTAACAAGTTCATTTGGGGCCAGTTTGCAACCCTGAAAAAAACATGCAGTAAGTGGTTGGTGATGCGCAAGCCACTTGCATGCACAATCATGAACAAAGTAGACTACCCGACATGGTCAACCTACCCTGGTGAAACGGGCTCCGGGTTTTGACCCACAGCCATGTGACTTGCTTTCATTCCAAATCAGGAGCTTCTCTCATCCAGCGATTGGCATTTCAACGCACGTGTCTCCTTGCAAGCAATCAGTCATGGCGGCTTTGTCAGGAGAACAACCGGGGCGGTCCTGGTGACCAGCAAGACCAATTGAAACTTGTTTGAACGTTGTCTTTCTTGATGAGTGACCTATATTGGATCCTATTGGGCACATGTCTAGACTTTCTGCACTTAATTAATTACTGCTCACCATCATTTGATGATAAAGTGAAAATTGTTAAATGTGCCACTCTTGCCACCATCTGAATGGACAATTGCTGGGCCTGTGCCAGGAGAACACGTCACAGGTCCGTCGAAGAAAACACCCTCAGACACGAAGCATGTGAACTCGCCATCGTGAAATTTCACCTGACGGCACTATTGCTGACAATCCACACTGAAAATGCACACAGACTCCCAGAGTCCTATATGGTCCTAGAGTTGCTGACAATCTCGCAAACACACAAAGTGTCTCATGCACATCACATGCCATGAAAATCATCAGTTGAAAGGGCGTCTTTTCTAACAGGTACGTCTCGCACAACCATTGGACATATACTGTACTATCTTACGCCACCTTACACACATCTTCCCATCCCTCAGAGTAACCGCTCACCCTTGAAAGGAGCAGAAGCTTTGAGCCACAAGCACCAGCTCCTCCTACACCATCCGATCATGCAAATGATGCCCCTGGAGATGTGTCAGAGGTGGGACTTGGACTGGTTTGAGAGAGGGATGCTAGACCAAGAGAGAACTCAAGATCTTAGTTGGGCAGCATGGTTTTCGGCGATTGCAAGGCAATTCTGTGCTATAATTTGGTTCATCTAGTTCTCCAAACACTGTGGACACACTAGGGGTTCTTACGGTAGTAGTAAAGCACAGGCGTTAGATTCGAGGTGTTGCGCATCCGTGTCCGGCTAATTCGTTGCTATTTACAGTTTACATTCATGCCTCTCGAAATCCTCGAAATCCATTCGACTGCGCAGGCTCGCAAAATCTGCTTGGCTGGGGCGGGCACTTGTCACTTTTCATGGCAGGCGCAAGGGAAACCTCGTGTTTTGGTGGTCCAAAAAGTCGACTTTTCGTGACAGGCGCAAGGGATCGGAGCGGCTTTACTTCGAAGTGCAGATTTCGTGGCAGGCGCAGCACTTTGGACATGGTGGTGATTTTTGAGGCGCTCTGATTTCGTGACAGGTGCAGTGAAACGTGACTTTTGGACATGTGGCTCGTTTGCAGGTTTCGTGGCAGGCGCAGCACTTTGTGAACCTCGAAAAGTGCATGGGCGTTTAGGTTCGGTTCGGTTTGGTTGGCGCATGTTGCGATATTTTTCGATAAATATTGCTGACATGTTTTGGGATCGGTTCGGTTCACCATGATTTATTGAAAATGCTTTCGGTTTTCTGGGGGCAGGGGGTCCTCAAATAGGATTAGCTTAGGCTTAGTCCTTTACTTGTGCAAAAAAAGTCAATCTCAAAGCTCTAGAGATGCTTCCGTGAGTCCAAGTGGCCTCAAGTGGCGGTGCCGTGACCACAGAGTCGAATTTTCTGTTGTGACCACAGCCCTGTGGCAAGGGCCAGAGCCATGCCCATCAGTTCAACCCGGTAGGAAGTGCAGATCTCGTTTAAGCACAGCACATATTGTGATCCTCAGTGCAGATTTCACTCTCACTCTCTCACTCACACTTTCACTCTCACTGCTCACTCTCTCACTCTCACTCTTACTCACACACTCACACGCTCACCCTCACTCTCACTCTCACTCTCACTCTCACTTTCACTCTCACTCGCACTCGCACTCGCACTCACACTCACATTCACACTCACTCACACTCACACGCACACGCACACGCTCACTCTCACTCTCACTCTCACTCTCACCCTCACCCTCACCCTCACCCCCTCACCCCCTCACCCTCTCACTCACTCACCCACTCACTCACTCACTCACTCACCAACACCGCCATCACCACGATCTCCACCTTCATCACCACCATCACCTCTCTGGACCCCAATGCGTCTTGATCTCTAGACTTTCTGCTACTACATCTCTAGCACACACACACACACTGTTTGGAGTCTCTTGTCGGGATAACATTGAGAATGCCCTGTTTGATTGAGAGCAAAAGGACAGGATGCATGCATGCCAGCCAAATCAGCCAATTCCGCCAACACTCCAAGGCGTTGCTGACAGACTACCTTATTAAGCCGGATCTCCACTTACGTAGGGGGGTATAAGCAAGTTGGTCTCCACCTCACACTTCGACCAGGCTCCCATCCTTTCCCTCACATTCTATCGACCATTTTGCGGCTCGGATCCTTGATCCTGTTCCCCGTTGGCAGGAGGACTCCGAAGACATGGCCAATCGGAAGATTGGTTTGGTGGATGACCAGCCAACGCAGTCGGAAATGATGTAGGGATCCGTTGCGCGGTGCTTTTGACATCAATGGAACCCATGCTATTGTGCAATATTGCGCAGAGATTCGTTACTTGCCATGCCATGCACTGCCCAGACTTCATGCTGATACGTTGTGGCGAACTTCGGCAACATTGTTTGGGGAGTCAGTAGTCAGCAGCATGAATAACACGTGTGAACATGTTGTTTTTGCCGGGTCATGATGGGTCTGTCAACTTAGTGAGTTGCTACTGCTAAAACGCAAGTTGTGGAGAATCTTAGAGCAACATGAACATGACAAGGTTTGGTTCCCAGCAGTTGCTACAACGGTGAGGCCGCCATAGCCCAGCGTTCGTGTGTTTGTAACATGCCATTGATTTTCAACGTCACGTTTCAAGTCTTTGCGATCTGTGAAGATGATGATTCCCTTACGACCGGTGAATAATACCTGTTTGCCAATGCACCCCCAAAGCATTGGTGTATACTCCTGCTACCTAGAGGTCAGGGAATATGGATCAACCCTTTGCAGGTGCTTGGGACATGTTTGACTCTCGTGCGTCGTAAACCATTTAGGGGACGCATGGTTTGAGCAGTATTTTTTAAAATTGTTTTCATCAATTTTCGGGTTTGGGGCTGTTGTGGTGGCGAGAAACAAAGAGTTTCAGACGACCACGTGACTATGTATATATATATATATATGCATAATTTGCATAATTGTCCAAGAGTTTCTGCCACGTGCAGCTCATCGAGATGTCCACCTCGGGACGGGACCATCAAGCTGTTTGAGCTGATCGGTCTCGCAAATTTTTGCGTCATCGGCCCATGATCTTGTGCTCCTGTGTTAGTCACGTTCCATGTGCCAGGGGACACCGGCCTCGTAGAGTTGTTGAACTCAGGTATTCAGTACAACCCTGGCAATCCATGTATTGTACGTACATATGCTGATCAATTGACCCCTGAAGTCAACCACCCCTGGCCTTTTCTCGGTCTGGCTAGGCCAGTCCCATGGATGGTCTGGAATCCAGATCTGCCAGGAGTCACATGTTGGGGTGGTGCTGGGTTTTATATCCAGTCAGATGTGGCACCCCGACTTCCTCCAAGCACCCCGACATGGAACTGTTGGTCAACTCTGGGAGCACACAGACCACCGCGCCCTGCTGCCGGGGACGCTGCCCAGTGCGACGCTGCAGTGGACGCTCCGTCGCTGGCGCGGGGAATTGGATCCACTTGGGGCGGCTCTTCGCGACGATGTATATGACGTTATATGTCACTGGAGTAGATGTCATCACATAGGGTTAGAGAGTTATGGCCTCCAACCTACTAGCGATGGCCTCCAACTTAATAGCAATGGCCTCCAACCCCAATAGCGATGTCCCCTATGTACCTTGGGTAGATGTCGTAACATATAGTTACATAGAGTGCCCTACTCTTGGTATATGACAATGTTCTATATGGTGTCGATGGCGAACAATCCCGTGCAATCGTACCTTTTGCTTACTTTTGCAAATGTTTGCAAGTTTGTGAAGAGCCGCTGTGTTGTTATTTTGCGGGGTCACAAATTTTCCAAGAAGGTTGCCTGCGTGAAAAAAGAACGAAACACATTTCAGGTCTCCCATTGAGGTCTGTGTTTGAGGGAGGTCCCCACGAACCCTACCCACTCAAGAGAGTGAAAACTGTTTGAGGGTTGGTGCAAGGGCTGGGGACGTTAAAACAATTTAAACTTTGAAACTAAGGTGTTTCGGCACAAGTCGAAACACACCCAACTTTGACCCCAAAAAACACCACCTTCACAGCCAGGCAGCATGAGCAAGCCGAGTAAACGTGCGATCAATTTGAAAGAACATCGATGAGAAATCATTGAGAGATAGCCCTAGGATGGACAAGCAATGCTTGCCAGTGGGTGCTCAGAAGTACATGGGGAAATGTCAAGAATTACATGCCCGACTGATTCGGGGTGGTGGGTCCGCTCGTCTTGCTTGACTGGGTCAGGTCACGTGCGTCATGTGCAACGTGTCTAGAGTCCGAACGATGCCACACGACCGATGCCACACATGACTGATGCCACGGGACGGTGCGACGGTGAGGTAACCCGAGGGTCGTTCAGGGACGGTGTAATGGGTCGTTCGAACTGGTCACTGGTTGGAAGTTTTGGACCCCTGGTAGGGTTATCGATGTTATGGGTTAAGTTGCGGCTTTCTCGACCTTTCGTGTTGATTGGCGTGTTTCTGCCGCCAGGTGTACCTACGCCATTGGTTTTCAGCGAAAACCTGGTAGATGGTTCGCATTTCTGGAAAGATTACAAGCTGTGGAAAGCTGGCTTTGTGGCAAAGGGCTTGCAGTCTCCTAGCACTTTGACATCTATCCTGGCATTGCTTTGGAAATCGTTCAGCTACACAAGAATCCAAGCACTATGAAACTAGAGTATGAGAGCAGACTCCACCATTTTGGACATTTTTGTGCGGTGTCTTTCAATCACCAAATTCTCAAGGGTTTTGGACCGTGGAAGGGAAGTGTTAGACTGAAAGTTGTTCAAAAACAACGACGCGCACAACTTTAACATGCAAAACAAAATATTCTGTTCGTATATTATGCTTGTATTGAATACATGTGTATAAACTCATTTGATATCACTTGAGATCGCCCTCGTTCTTTTTGCTGGATACAAGTCATGAGCATCCGTATTCATAGAGTCACTACACCAGTCATGGACAGATCCATCGAGAGCCTCAGGTCGGCGCAACCGCGTCACTTCCCCGAAGACGAAGCGTGGCCAAGTCCAATGCCACCATCACCGCAATGGAGCAGGGCCGAGAATGGCAGCTGGGACTGGTTCTTTTTCATTCCATAGCAAAGAACCAGATAAATCCTGACGTCATCAGCTTCACAGCCGCTCTGAATTGCTGTGGAAGGGGTCGGCAATGGCACCTAGCGTTGGAGTTCTATGAGGCTATGCTACGAGAAAGAGTGAAGCCAAATTCTTATGTTTTTAATACCATGATCAGCATGTTCGAGAAGGTCAGAAAGTGGCAACATGCTTTGGCCTTTTTCACCGAGATGGCTTCCAGACAAGTTCAGCCAGATGTGTTCAGCTTTAACTCCAGCATCAGTGCCTTTGAGAAGGCTGCCCAGTGGTGGTTAGCACTAAGCTGGTTTGATACAATGTCACCACACGAGGTGCAGCCAAATGTTGTAACTTACAATGCCAGCATTAGTGCCTTGGAGAAAGGTTCTCAATGGCAGCGTGGAATCCAACTGTTCAAAGCCATGCAGATGTGTCATGTATCGCCAGATATTGTGAGCTACTGCGCAGCCATCACATCTTTTGGAAAGGGTGGAGAGTGGCAGCAGGTACTGCTGCTGCATGATGAGATGTCAAAAAGAAGGGTTGTGCCCAATATGCTCAGTTTCAATGCAACAATCAGCGCAGTCGATAAGGGTGGACAATGGCAGCTGGGATTGTGTTTCTTCAATTCTATAGCGCAGAACAAGCTACAGCGTGACGTAATCAGCTTCACAGCAGCTCTGACTTGCTGTGGAAGGGGTCAGCAATGGCAACTTGCATTACATTTCTTTGGGGCTATGCCGCGAGCAAGAGTGGAACCCAATGCTTACACATTCAATGTGATCATCAGCATGTTTGAGAAGGTCGGAGCATGGCATCATTCTTTGTCCTTCTTCACAGGAATGGCATCAAGACAAATTCAGCCAGATGTTTTCAGCTTTAACTCAAGCATCAGCTCCTTTGAGAAGGCTGCCCAGTGGTCCTTGGCGTTAAGCTGGTTTGATGCAATGTCAGAGAAGGTGCAGCCCGACACTCGGTTTTGCAGCAATTCCGCTTGACGTGGTTCGTCCAACCAGGCTCAACACTTTCTGCTTCCAATTTCTATGGGCAATTCACATTAATATCTTTGCATATTCTATGCATTCCTTATTTTTCAGATGGCCAATGTTCGAAGCACAACACAACATGTCCCTTTCCATACTCTTAGTCGAAGAAATATAGAAGTTGGTTGAAATCATTTGGAAGTGGTTGGACTTTTCGTACTCCACAAATCGCAGCCAGGATGTGTATAGTTTTAATTCCACCATCAGTGCCTGCGAAAAGGGCTCACAATGGCAGCAGGGCATCAGTTTGTTCGAAGCAATGACCAAGCACAAGGTGGGCGGCTTCGCGCTTTCACAGGATCTATACAACCCAGACCATCCGTGCATCTACTGAATGTGACTTCACCCTTCCACGCGTGGCCATGCAGTGATGCTGCTTCACACCCTTTGATGTGACCTAACCCGACCCCTTGTATGACCCATTTACCGATCAGGTCAGGGGTGGTTGCAGAGGGGTCAATGTAGGTATATACACTCCATACATGCAAGGTCTGGGCAGCTTTTAGATGTGGATCTACGTTTTGGTATTGAAATACCCATGCAATGTTTTGTGGAGTATTGAAATGAGTTGGTATTGAAATAGGGAGATTCCCCTGACCAATGGTTTATGGAGTTGTCCCGCCGTTTGGACATCATGCCATATTGCTCCATCCCAAAAGGTTGGACCCAGGCACCTGCATCCGTCTGTCGCGATGCTTCATTCAGAAGAAATTCACCCCACAGGCCCCACAGGGGCAAAAGGAAAAACCTGCTTCCTTCGGATTCATGTCAAGATGCTGCCAGCTGATGATGAACACATAGCTTGCAGACATCTCAAAACACCGACCTGAGCGCGTGAATCTAGCCTTTAGATTCTAGATTAGATCCTTGGATCCAACTTGGAGTCGTCATTCATACCGATGTGTTGACTAAAGGGGCAGCTGATTCCGATGTTTGACAAGTGGTGCATTAAACATGCAACTATTCAATTGGAACCAAAAAGACAAGACCGTCTCCTTTCTTGAATGTTTTCCTTTTTCCCTATGGCAGAATCTAAGAAGATGGCCGTCTTTTGTTCCTGTTCCCTATTTTCGTAACCGGACCTAACCATCGGTCGACCCAGGGCTGTAACTGGGACTTCGCAGGTCTCTCCCGACTTCATTAGCTGCGGTGCGGTCATCAGTTGCTGTGAGAAAGGCGCACAATGGCAGCAGGCGCTCCAGCGCCTGGCGGCCTTTTTCGAGCAAAAGAGGTTGCCGAGTGGCCGAGTGAGCGGGAAATGGGGTTTCTTAGTCTTGACTGAGCCCATGGAAACAGGTCGTTTTTGGAAGGATCCTCATGTGTTGATTTTTGGAAGGTCTAAGATAGGTGCCAGGTAGCTGAAATCGGTGGGCGGTCTGGTTCCATGATCCATCGCCGTGTGGACAAGGAGGTTGCCGAGACTTCTTCCACCAATGTAGCTTGAAACCTTGAAATGCTGCACTGCATATATACTGTCCCTTGATGGTTGGGCAGTTCATGACCTACCTCTAGAGTTGACTTGACCCCAAATGATACTCTTTGGGAGATTCAAACATCCCGGTCCCGTTCCGTGCTCAGAAAGGTCGCCAGTCCTTTAGCCACAAATTCCCCGCAAAACGTCCTTTGCTCGCAGCTTGCACCGCTCGCACTGCCCTTCCTGGGGCCCCGGTGCTGAGGAGCTCGTAAAGCACTGGTGGACCTTGCGTCAGGCACATGAAATGGATCTCGACTGGAAAGGACGACTGGGGACCCCGACCTCTTCATTTCCATATCGAGTCAAGAGGACCAATCCGTTGGATTCCTCAGAGTCGGGGTGGGACCTGAATCGAACGAAGGATGGCACAGTTGAACCAGGATCATCTCACAACAGCAGCAGCAACTTTTGGCACATATCATGTATTACACTATATTGTTCATGTTCCCACTCTAGAGTTGCGACTGTGAACAAAGCTTAAAGCATCTTAAAGCCATTGATTCGTTATGGGAAAGGGTCCCCAAGACAGTCGGGTTCGGTCCCATAATTGCGGTCTGAAACGTTCAGGTTTTGTGACACCTCTTGCAGTCCAGCGCAGAGCAGACCAACAGGACCAGCAGAACATGGGCTTTTGTATGATAGAGAGAACCCAAAGACATACAAGACCATTGGTGTGGGGGGGGCCGCCTCTTCCAATACACACGTCTTCAAGTCTCGTATCATTTTCCGGTTGTGGACATCGAAAGGCCAATGCTTGTGTTCTTGGAACTGGGAGGTGAGGATGGATTTCACCATGATTTCTGACACTGTGAGTGAAAACGAGCAAACACACAAAGGAGGTGTATATAAACATATATATATATATATAGACTTTCCACACTGGGACTTGGTTTGGCATGGGTGCTTCTCTAGTTGCTTGGACGGTTTGGCTGCTGTTTGTTTCACAGGTTTGTCAGCCCGGTTGCGAGACGTCGCTCGGTTCGTGTCGGTCGCAGCGACCGCGTCGTCTGCCAGACGTTCATCAGAGAATTCGAAGAGCAGGCCAGTCGTGCAGATCGGTTTAAGGGGTGTCGAAAAAGATGATATTTGATCTATAGCTGTGATGTGATCCAGTTCACTACTCAATGTATTTGAGTGCTGGATGTTGCACGAATTCATATTGTGTTTGCGGGGCTGGGATCGGATTCCCTTCGAGAGTTCTCCCTCCCAAGAGACAAATTCAGAGATCTCCAGGGTCAGACAGCATAATCAGAGGAGTTTGTGGACCAAGCCCACAGTTACAGGTCGTTGGAGGTGTGTAATCAACTACGTTGATTTCTACCTCAATGTTTTGTTGCACTGGAGGAAACAATTACGCAAGTGCACGGACAGGTTTAAATTGTGCCTCAAAATCCACTTGAGGGGAAGGACTTCCAGAATTGTTTGCCTGCAGGATGAGCTTTTCCATCAGTACCAAGAGCAGTTTGAGGAGGAGCATACCACCATGCTGTTTTGTCGATGCGATTTTGATGTGAGTCCAAACGAGACGCCCAAAGTGAATTGCAACTGATTGGGTCCAGTCAGGTCGGTTTAGGACGTTCAAGACGTTTTAAAGCTTATGGCCCATGGCTATCATCCATATCATCTCAGAGAGAACATACTTTGGTGGCTGGAGTATTCCTCATGTTCCTCCCCTATTCCCCTATTGGTGCTAAACCCTCCAAAAGGGGTGAATTGAGAGTTTGATCGTTCTCACATAGAAAATGTCTTCTGTGAGTGTTGTTTGCGATGCTCTTAGGCTTCAAATGTATCATCATGCATCATATCTCCCACCAAAAAGCAATCTCATTTCACATAGAACTGAGATGGAAACCATTGAAGTTTTCCAGGGGAGAACTTGAAATTGATCCGAAAAAATGAAGCTCTATGATGCTTCGAAAGACTATTCTGTACTCTTTGCAGAACCCTAGAGTGATGATGTGGCGGATTGATGCTGATTTGATCCATGTTGATGTATGAATGGATTACAGTGGATTACAAAGGATCTACCTCGAACCCTGGAGTGGAGTACGTAGTACCAGATCTCGCGACCTATCCTCATTTTTGGCCAATGCTTGGTCGCTCTCTATTGTTCAAATTTTGCTATGTCAGGTAGAACATTGCAACCATGGTATGCGAAATATATATATATGGATAGATAGATATCATATAGATGTCATATACTATATCCAAAACATGGTAGGTAAACATGTTTGAGCATTCCTTGCTAGGTGTAGGATGTTTTGCATGGTCAATCGCAGATGTCTTTCACCGCCCTTTGGATCCATCGACAGTACCCGCCCTTGCAGGAGAGCAGTGATTCATCCTCCGAAGCTGAGCAGGAGAGCACACCTCCAGATCTGCGGAGTACATCCGGGGGACGATCGAGGGGGGACTCCAAAAGATTGACAAAAAGAACACGACCGCCCATCTGGGGATGAGACAGATTTGTCCGAGAAAAGGCCAGGGGTGGTTCAAAGGGAGGTCAATGTAGGTATACATGCCATACTATATATAGATAGAGTGTCTGGGAATGACGATACCGCGCAGAAGGTTATACCAGCTCTACATCCCCAGAGTGAGCAGAATGAGGATCATTTTGAGGGGATTGGTTCTAACCCTCGGCCACGGACTTGTCCCTTGTTTGACCCGACGATGTGGCTTGGCTCTTCTGCCTGGCGACAGGGGATTGTCAGGTGGACCCGTTGCCTTGGGGTTTTGCTGGCCTTGGGTGCTGGCTTTTCATGTAATTACCGAAAACCCGGGCATTTTCATAGACACGACCCAAAATCATGGGACCGGCATGTGTACCCCATATGTACCCATCGATTTACTGACATCAGCCACCCTGTATAGAAATCTTAAAACAACAACACGGGAGCGCCACCGAGGTGTTTCGCCACCCCGTGTTTCGCCACCGACCGATTTCAGACGTCCCACGGTCGCTGGCGAGGATCCCACCGACTCTGGGACACTTGAGACCACCGTGAGCGGGGTGGGGATGCTCAGGGGCGCCAGGCCGAAGACGTCTCTGTCCCGGTGACGGTGCCGTGGAGTCTGGGGCTTTGGGATCTGGCAAGTCTTGGTGTGAAAGAAGCCGAAGAAGCTCTGATTTGGTGAAAGATCGGCAGGTTCGCCGCTGGTTCTGAACGGTGGGGTGCGTTTGGGTTCGGGGAAGCTCATGGGTCGGTCCAGCCTTTATATAACTGCGATGGCAGAACTGACAGAAAGAAGTCCAAAAGAAGCAATGGCAGCTTGAGAATGTTTGATAGTTCCTTTCAAATCGTCGAAGGCACCATGAAAACACACAACACATGTCGTTTCTCGGGCTTATAGAGCAGTTTGTTCTTGTTTTTTACCCACCATCACCTCGGGTTTCGAGTTGACCCAAACCGGCTGCAGGAGCCTGAAGCCGAAGAGTCTGCTCCCCGGAAGCCGAAGATGCATCGATCCTCGGAGGCTCATCGTCACCGGAGTTGGCTTTTAGAATGGGAGGGATCAACCGGGGTCAACCCCTGGGTTCCATAAAACGATTTATAGATCTTAGAGAAACTGCCTCGAACTACTGCACAATAGATGTGATAGAGGACATACCAGGACCCCCTGTTTGGAGTTTCTATTGATAGCTCCTTAGAGGTTAAGGGGTGTCCATTAACCACCCCTTGTGTGTCCTTTTAAAGTTACATTGCAATATGTTTATATATGATTGTATATGTATGTATATATCAAGAGCTGTAGGAGCTTTGCCTGTTTGTCTTGCAAGTTCCCGAAAGTTGTCGATTCTGGATTGCAGACCACAAGGTCTTTGAAATGCAGGAATGAGTTAAGCATAGTCAAGCAATTTGTCCATCGTTTCCCAGCATGTGATGTATGAATCCATTTGTGGGCTATCAACATGATGAACATCATGTTCCCAAGACCCCTTCCCTCGAGACCAAGCCCCTTCCCCTCATGGTCAGGTTGACCTCGTAGACCTGCCAAAGTGCTTGTGGCTCCGTCCCAGGAAACTCCCTGTTGAACATATTGAACAGGTGGTAATGTGGTAACTGGTAACTTGCGGATCCACATGGATCCATATATTACTACCTAGTCACTAACAACCTAGTCCATCCTGGTCCCTTTCGTTGTTTCTTCTTTTGCCGTGGGTTTGGAGGGTTCAACTGCCGTACCTGCTGAGGATATTGTTGGATTCAATCAAATTGCCAACTCCACAAATTCAGTTTTGCTGAGCGAGGAGTCCAACCGCCCCGCGTTCGCTTTCTTGTTTCCAAACACGGTACACCGCTACTCCACGCGACACGCATAGACTATAGACTTTGCGAGCCCAGTTGTCGAGCTGATCTGCCCGACAAGTCGTTGGCCCTCAACTGGCCATTCACGTTCGTTTCTTTTTTGAGACCTCTTTTTTCTGTGGTACTTCCAACTCGTTGGATGACTTCCAACTCGTTGGATTCATAATTTGGGGAAATTCTCCAAAAACACAAAACAACAACACCACCCCCCCCCCTCCGCGCCCAGAGATCACCCCAGCTCAGTGCTAGCTCAACAGCTCGCGCCATCTCAGCAGCTCGCTCCGCGGTCGAAAGCGACGGCGCAGGTCGCGCAGCTCTCCATGTCCAACATGGGCGTCGGAGGGGCCCAGAGCGTTCTCTCGGAATTTCAGCGTGCTCTCCGAGTGTGAGCGTTTGTGACATTTGTGAGTCGCATGCAGTGAAGAGACCAGTGTGTTCCGCTGAATGTGTGATGCGACTGGATTTGAAGATCCAGTGTGGGTATAAGTAATATAGCTTGGTATAGCCCTTTTTGAAATGGAGTATATAATTATAGGGGTTGGAATGTCCTCTACAAAATCGCGGGGGTAGGGACCCCTAGAAAGCGATTTTTTAGCCAGATGTTCTTGGCTAACATGGAGGCTTGTAAGTACCAACCTGGAAGTTTCTCGATTTTATAGAGAATTGCTGTTTTATGTTTACAAGCTCGATTCTATAGAGGTGTTGAAGTGATGGTGCAGTGGATCTTGGTGCCTCAGGCATACTGATTCTATAGAGAATCAAACATTAGCATGGATTTGCATGTCAGGGACTGCAATTCCATAGAGATTGAGGTTATTTCAATTGTTCGAGTTCAAGACTCGCCTGATTCCGAGAGGGCGCAATTGGGATTGCTCAAAAGAACCCTGGGGAATGGGTTCTTGGATGACCTTTGGACACTTACCTGTCCATGACACCCTTTTTTTCTCCATAAATTTGTGGTCCTACCAACTGGGGACTTAATGCATTCCTGGACAGTTGCATGTTTATGTGTTCTTCAGAACCTTGTACCTTGATTCTATAGAGACCCATTTTCTCACTCCTATTGAAAAACGCCTGTTCGACGGCGCCTCAGGACCTGCATTTTATAGAGCAACATCCTCAATGCTCGCAGCTTTTGACAGACTCATGACCCTCAATTCTATAGAGCTGACTCCCTGTTTTTGACTCTTTTCCTATATCATCTTCAACTTTATAGGGTCAACAAGTGACCATTTTTTGAGGGGGGTTGGTCCCAGCATTTTAGCACCATAAAATCGCTACCCCCGGGGTACCCACTTGATACTACTAGCGTCTACTACTAGACTCATCACTTTTTTCCAAGGTATATAATCACAGCATTGACATCCATTGCCATACTTCCATGTGTTTAGCAGAAGTGGCACAGATGATTTTGGACCCACGGATCCACTCAACGGTTATTTAAGGACAGAGCCAGTGACCTGCGGTGATTGCCAGGATATGTAAGGATTGTGTGTGTTCTTCTTTATCGTAGGAAGAACGATCAGGTTTCTGGGCTGTTGTGAAGTGTGTTTCTCTTTTATTCCAGGTCTTTCATGCACGTATTTTTTGCATGGTGAGAATGCAAACAAACTTCATGGTTTCGAGAATGTTTGTTTCATGCACGTATTTGTTCATTGTTCCCATGATGCATGTCTCTACGTTCTGGGTGAGTGATATCCACGGACACCTTCAGGGCAGCAGCTCAGCACGGATTTCACGCTTCCGGGTGAGGCGTTCCGGGTGGCCCGGTGGGAGGTTGTTTGGTCCAGTGAGGGTCAGTGAGGTCCGGCATTTCTTTTTCGGTCAGTGTGCACCTCAAGTAGCATATAGCCGCCCTGGGGTCAGAGTGACCTGTAGTTTCCTGACCTTGGTTGACTTGGTTGATTTCTTTGTTGTTCTTGTTCATTGACCACCCACAGACGAACATGGTCCCAGAAAATGGACCCGTGGGGATAAACCATTTTCCTCCAGTAAGCAGGGGTGTTGCGGTTCCCACCGGATCATCCAGAAGTGATACATGACCTGATTGGGACCTCTCCCAGTCATGACCAAGAGGGCCGGTTGAAAAGAGGGCGTACATTTCCGGTCCGATGGGTCGTGTTTTGGTGATGATTTGGGCTAGTTTTTTCTCAACAGCCCTAAACAATTTGGTCATAGCGGCCAAATTGAATCGTTTTGGCCAGATTGAACATTGAGGCGATGGTCAAGTAAACAACCGTCGAAAAAAGCAACAGCGACAATCAGTGCTTTCTAGTGAAGCAAACTCACAGCAGATGGGACCTCAGCATGATCCAGAAATGGATGTTGATGTAGTTGCATATTACCAGTTTGATGGGGGGTACGTTTTACCCAAGATCTGTGGGCAGCGGCTGCTGTGCGAAGTAAGCTCTGGGGGGAAGCTTTCTAAGCCAATGCAAAAGGAGCCCGAGTGTCTCGGATCCATTTGTCACACTCCTCGGGCCATGAGTCTTTCACTCCAAAGCCTCAGTCTCATGACTACAAAGCAGAAACAACAGCACTGCCACCATGGTTGGGTTTTGATCAAAGGGAGGTGTTAAAAAGGTATTACAGATGGTTTCTCAGTCCAAAGTTCTAGCCCGATCTAGAGTCAAGCTTGTCTAGAGTCCTGTTAACCAGATGCTATGTGGAGTACTTTCCTGTTAACCAGTGCTTCATTACATGAATCCCATTCCGCAAGTCCACCTGGCCACGCCAAAAACACCTTCCAACGCCATCCAACGGTATTTGTTGCATCGCCGTGTTTGCGCCAGGACAGGCAGCGTGCCCAGCTTAGACACTGCTTTGATGCTGCACAGCTCGCTCCTTGGAGAAGAGGTGCCTCAGTGGGACTTGAAGAAAGGTTGTTGTAAGGAAGAAGATGGACATTGGTGACAGAAACGGTAAAACCATCCCGAGTTGATCCTGTCACCAAATTCCAGTGAGCACAATGTTGTTCTTTGTGTTTTACCTGTCTAGTCAGTGGATCATCCTACCATTGGCCACCCAAACCATCAAAGTGTTGCCGCGTTTATTCAGAGTTATTCAAACCTTTCTTGTCTGTTTGTCGGAGACTGAGGTGGTGAGGATGCGCAATATTCAATATACTTATCCAAAGTGGTGATATCTATACCTGTTTATTTCAAGACTTTGCTTGTTGAAGTCTAAACACTTTGCGATGTTTTGCGAACAGACTCTTGGGGGCTCCCTCACACCACTCTGTGGTTCCCTGTTCCTGAGACTCTTGTTGCTGAGTTGTTCTCGCTACATACAAATAGTGACATGTTGTTTGCAGACACATTGCTTAACAAGGATCTTCTAGTACCTGCCGAAAGCCTGCCGAATGACTGTGCATGGCTGGGGGTGATGGTGTGTGTTTGTTTCTGTGGGTGTTGGCAGTGGGAGCCATAAGTATGTACTCGAGACGTGGACCCTTCTCATTACTTGATGAACACATCAACACTGAATTGTTTATGTTGCTGCATTGGATATGTGTTTTAAAGAAACACGTGTGCATGGATGGATACATCGATGAAGCAATGCCCACATGCGTGGCCACCGTCTGTGTGACTGGAAAAACAAACCATGATGACAAAGTGTAGACTGTACACTGTACACTGATTAGCCCTGCTTTGGGTGCAATATTTGGTGAAATAAGTGATAAGAACAAAATGACACATCAGTCAACAGCATGTTCACATCCGAACAACTGATAACATTTTAAGATAGATAAGATAACCAATATGATATGTGACGATATGTATATATATAATATATATATACTCCCATCTCCCCCTGCCAAGGAAGTCAGTGATCGCTTACGAGTGGATCATGGAATGGGCCAAGGCCGACACCGGTGTCCCGCGGTGCCGAGGGCCACGGAGACGACTTCCGACGACGCCACGATGTGACCTGACAGTCCCTATGGATGCACATACCCTTTGAGGTACAGTGATTGGAGACACTTTTACCCTTGTTTGGAGGCCTTGTTTGGCTCCAAGTACCCGATTAGAGAGAAGGTATGTGGGATCACTCCAAGTACCCTCACAAAGTCTCACTTTGGCTTCGATCCAGCGCCGAATTGCTTCGATCGACGCCCCCAACATATTGGAAACAATAGCACTCGTTGAGGATGCACCTCCAGTACACTACACAGCGTCGACCTGCCGTACACTACTTCACACGTGTGAACACATATGCCTTGCTGCCACCAACCGTCACCGCCATTGGCACCCTTCTTTACCCCTGCCACCTTCGCAACCTCCACCGAGCACCACTACTCACCTACCAGCAAGCACCCAAGAATGAGAACCCAATTTCCCCCAAAAAAAATTACCTAGCCCTGTTTTCACCCCCACAAGATCGAGCACCGGACGTTCGCACCGCCGGAGGCCCGTGGCCGGCGCGTGGGCCTCTTCGCCTCGTGTAAAGCACCCCGCGACTTGGAACACATTGACCCACCGCGTTTGCTCTTCCCCGTGCTCCGCGCCTTGGTGACGAGGGTAAAGGCGAGGGTGAGAGAGTGAAGGCGAGGGCGAGAGAGATCATGGGCGTGTGTGGGTATGGGAAGATAGAAGATCTGGAGCTGGGATGGGATGAGCTATGAGCTACGAGCACAAAAAGAACCAGAGTCTAAACAGACCACTGGAGGCGAAGGCAGGTCTTTTCGGAACATCGCAAGGCAGGTCTTTTCCACCACAGAACATCGCAAGTTCTGAACTGAAATGACTGGCGGTAAACCCTCTACTAGACCCAGACCATCCATGGGACTGGAAAAAAGTGTTTCTATATATATATATAATTTATATATATATATATATACCTGAGAAACAGTATGTTCAATTGTTTTTGGTCATACGGCATTTTACCATATTTTTTTGTCATTACGGGGTTTGCCCAAATACGGGCATATACGGTTTCCTCTCTTGGCTCAATAGGGTACCATATTCGGGTGTTCCAACGCAGTATTCGCACTAGTATGTTGGAATATGGTTACGGTGTTTTTTCAATAACATATTGAAAAAAATACTAGTATCATACAGGTACCCCGAAATATGCATGCAAATACGGCCAGTATACGGCCATATTCGTATACAGTACCTATTCATGTCCGTGCCCATATACGGCATATTCACAAAAAAAACGGTCAATACGGCTTGAGGCCATAGTGATCAAAAAAAGTGATCATACGGGTTTCCAGGTATATATATATATACATACATTGACCCCTGAAACAATCACCCCAATGTAGGTAAATAGGCCAGTCCGATGGTCAGGGCATGCAGAGTGATTCGAACATACCATGATGGTGGGACAGGACCCTGACTGGACAGAATGCACAAACTGAGCGCGTTTTGAGCATTGAGGTTCGCGCGAGAATCCCGAGGAAGAGCATGAAGATCAAGAAGAGCACAGGTGGAAAGTGCTGTTTCAAGTCGAAAAAGACGGAAAGTCACTTTCCAAATTTCGCCAGGATGATGGCCTAATTATATACACACCAAATTAGAGGCTTTTCGATCGCGTTCATCACCCAACCCATGACTAAGTCCAATTCAGTTCGGCCGAACCGCCCGTGAGTTCGAACCCAAAAGTCAACGGCCCCTTTGGGCAACGCCAAGGGCGACCCGTCCAGGTGGAACCAGGCCTTACAGTGGGCCCAAGTCTTGGCCTATCGCTTCCTGTCCCGGCAGGTGCGCGCGCGGTTTGCGGGGGCGTAGTTGTTCTTTCGTTGCAGATCGTGGCCGTATATCGTTGCGCAACGAAAGATCGTGGCCGTACATCGTTGCGATGATGTTGTTGATGATGTGATGTTGTGGTGAGTCGTTTTTTTTTTTTTTCCGTTATGATGTGTACTTGATGTGTGTTGTTGCTGTGTTTTTTTGTTTAGGATGGTGCTTGCCAATGATTAAAAAGACACCTTCCTCTTTGTATAGATGTTGATCGGGCAATCCACCTTCATCGCACCAAAAGCGCCAGCTTCTACCCTCTTGAAGCTATTGGTCCTTCTGGAGAAATTGCATACACCTCTGCAAAACGGGTTCATGTTCCAATTCGGTACTGCAAAGTGGTTAGCACTTCGATAGAGGAAGCATGACCCGGCTCAACCGTGGAGATGGTGCTTTCCAAGGGGTCAGTTCCTTCGATTTGGGGCACGCTTCCAAGGTCTCAACCAACTCGATTTCGGAGTTTCGGTTTGCCACCACTTCGCTGGTTGGAGATCGGCCTCGACGGAGTCGCCGTGCCAGAACCGGCTTTATCAACGCACGGGTCACCGCCTGGGTGTAGCACAAGATGAGCAAGTCATTGAGCCTTGGCTGGTTTGCCTTCATGTGAGGTGGGTGAGCTCGTTCGATCTGGGAAAAGGAGAACTCCCATAATGAAAGCCTCCCTCTCCTTCCCTAGAGATCCAGTCGTACCTTCTCAGAAGGTACAGCTTGACCCTCCAAACCTACATAGCAGTGTCTCCAATCACCTGAGAAGGTACTTGGAGTCCTAGACCTTCCAACCAAGATGGAAGTCATGAAGTCGAAGATCCCCTATGAGCAGAACTGGGGGGTGAGATGTTGGTGCCATGAGTTCGAGCCATTTCTGCGGGTGTCATATCCATCCTGGAATGGGGTTTGACACCATGGACAGTTGCACCCTGAGGGTTTCTAGCTAGATGGGGTTGATGTAGAGTTGTATGAACCAGTGGATAATAATTCACTATTGGGTCATTTGTGCTGGACGTGCCAGGGGTCATTTGGGCTGCATGATATATCTGTAAAACGTCCTTCAATAGCGTGGGGATGTTCTTGAATCACTGTACCCAGAACTTCCAACGTCGAAGTTTAACTTAGCCAATGAGAAACGTCGAAGTTAAACTTGTACACCTCAGTGCGTCTATTTTTTACTCATGTTAGTTGTCTTAAACAGAACAGACTCCGCAGAACGACGAAGTTTAGCCTGGTTAAACATAGACAGAAACAACGTGGAAGTTAAACTTAGCCTTTGAAGATTAGGGTGTATATACATAGTATAGATCGAAATTTGCTAATACTAATAACATAATATGTATTTTTTCATTTTTTTGCTATGATATAGATGCGCTTCGAATCGAGAAACTGACCACTATCGCAGAGGTTTCACTCTACTCTCCACAGGAGGCAGGTTTTGGTGCATTTTGGTGCGTGCTTCGCCAAGGAGTGCGAGATTTGCACGATGTTTGTGGAGCCAAATGAACGTCACTGGTCTTGTGGCTCCTGCAACTATCACATCTGCAAGAACTGCGCCAATGAGATCATGCAAGGACTGGTCCCGGTATACTCTCCCTGTTTACTGTTGCGCGTGAGAAACCGGTATCTCAACGGTCTGGGTTGTGAGTAACCCTCAGCTTTCTGCATGCTTAAGGGTGCCGGGGCACAGCTGGGTGAAGTGGGCGAAGTGGGCACGACTGAGTCAGTGGATATTATCCCGATGATGATGTCCGATGTATTTTCTGAACGGGAACCCCCAAGCATTGAACATGGAGATGTGCGCAGGACGGCGGCCTCGGGAGAAGTTGATGAAACTAGGCCAGCCGAGCGGTCGAAGGGAGCGAAGCGAGCCGATGAGAGTGGTGGTTGTTGGGTCACAAAGAGGATGAAGACGTGACGTTCAGCTTGATGAGGAGAGATCGAATCTGTTGAGTTACTTGGCAACAGTTGGATTTGCATGCACCACAAGCCATCGACAAGCAACGCTACAAGGGAGTACAAGAGTGTGACCAACAAAAGAATGCGTTTTTTTTCAGAATTCCTTAAGTCTTTGAGAATGGCAACATAGATGTGTAGGAAGCGACCTCCACATTGAAACAATTTGTGGATGCTGAACTGACTCTTCGACCTGGGTGGGGGTTACTTTCAAAACAAGCTTTAGGGCCAGGGCAGTCCCAGACCATCCAGTATACGGCCACGGAATAGTTCCCTACATTGTAGCCATAAATATGCATAAATGGTGGTAATGTATGTTCGGGAGTTGTAGTAGCAGATCAGCCTAGCAATGTCTAGCAGAGCCGATGGCGAGTGGTCAGGTGCATGATCAGGTCAAATAGAATCATATAGGGATGGGTCGTGACCCACCTACAACCCGACCAGTCCACCATGTAGCAAACGACCAGTCGACTAGGTAGGTCATGGTAGGTCAACTGTTCGGTATCCTCATACTATGCACAGCCATATATAGAGGCAGATTGAGAAGAGACTGGCTGTTGGCTGCCTACACCTACAGCTACAGCTATATACTGGTTTGCACCTACAGAGTAGTCAAACCGGTGCAGATGTTCTTTCAGCCGCGACATGGGCGGCACAGCTACCGAGCTCATTCTCGACTCAACGTTCGGTTAAGAGAAATTAAAAGAATCCACAGCCGACGCTCTCAAAGTCCTGTCTAAACAAATGGCTGCCTTGTTGATAATCATGTTCCATCCTTTGCAGACCATCCATGTGTGGAATAGTTACACATTTGACTCATGTGACCCTAATGTCAAGTAACTATTGCAGTCCCACGGATGGTCTGGGATTTGCAGCCTCCAGCAACCTTAATAAAAGAGAAGAAAATGCACAGACGTCACCCGACAACAGACGACAGACCGCCAGGCATCTCCCTCTACATTGCCAAGTCACCTGGCTGAGCATATTGGTCAGAGAGGATCAGGGTTTGTGGAGGTGATATTGATGTTCACGACAACACACGAAAACTGTTGAGGATTGGATGAATTCTTGTGACTCGTGACCTTTTGCCTTCCCAGGTATTTCCTTGCGTTCTTCTTGTTGTGCTACGCGCTGTTGAACAACAAGGCATTCCGGTCGCTTTGTTCAGCGCAGCTGAAGCTTGCTGACAGTCCGAAAGGCTGCCAAGGCTAAGGCGTTTCGACCAGTGTATGAAGCATCTTCAGGTGGATGCAGCATGCGTCCTATTCTCCGACAGAATGGTACCACGATGTATGGTACCCCATTGTATGTCACTGGTCCAGAATCCAGCAAAATCATTGTCCCATTTGTATCGTATGGATCAACACACGTGTTGTCAACAACATGTTTAACATGACGAGTGACCAACACAGCTGCGTTCATTGAATCATGTCTTGTTGTCTACCGTGCATTGAGCTGTATCAGGGTTTGACACTATGTTTGTGTTTATATTATTTAGCATATATATATATATAGGGTGTAGCCCATTACCAGTAATAGTCGGTAAAGAAATATCACTATTTTCAAGAAAGGCCTTTACTAACCATCATCATCCACTGTTACTGGTAATGGGATACACCCAATATATATATATATATTTATATTTGAGAGACTGGTCTATGCAAGGTATCACCTGTAGTATTATGTAGTATTTACCCAATTGAGCTTACAGAAATGAGCATGTCGACAAGCATTCTGCTTCGTCTCCACGAAAGGAAGGCCCCTGTGTTCATGTTCTCCAGCCACATACACAGGTTTCCATGTTTTGGCCAGGCGATTTTGAAGGAGGAGGAGCGTTCCTTCTCCCAATCCTTGCAGGCGCCCCCGTTCGTTCTTCGGTCCTGAGTCGACTTCAGCGGAAGCGAAGCGAAGCAAGCGGCGCCGATGTCCCGAGGGCCGGCGTGAAAACGAGAGAAGGGCGTGAAAGAGGCGGAAGAGAAGGAAAGTGGCCTCAACGTTCAAAGCACACACTGGTGGTGGTCCCTGGCTGTTTGTAAGGCGGCTATTGGACTCCTAGGATGATTGTTTTGTGAGCCCCTGCCGTTTTGCAGGAGAACAACTTCAGTGTGGGCACGCTGCTTCTGTCGCTTTGGCCGAGGAATCAGTGGTTTGTCGACTTGCCAATGGCTGGAGTGCTGGTGGGTTTCATGATGTTTTATGTTTATTGGGCAAAGAATCCCACAAGATATTTTTGCATTGAGGAAGTCCCTCTTTGCGTGTGTCCTTCAAAGTTCCAAGTGTGTTCATTCTGGACATGTGGTTTTGGACGTTTCGGATGCCTTTGGTAGCAGGTTTCTATGGCCCATGGAAGTCCTTTGGCCGATTAATAATGATCAAATTTGGTCAACTTGTTTGATCCACAGCCAACCTGAATGTCTTGTTTTTCTGTGTTCATGCGGACTCGCTTTATGCATGGTTCTCCGATCCCGGCTCTTCCAAAAACCAAGTGGATCTAAGGATCGTGGCCCACATGACCATCCTTCTGTCAGACCGCATTTTCTTCAAGGCCCACTATAGCATGAGGAGATCGGTCGCGGGCCGAACGTGGCATGTTGTTGGCTACTGGGGGCTTGTTCGAAACTGAGTTCCGTATGCTGTTGAATGACACCGTTCGTACTCGGATAGGGTCATGCTGTTGAGGAATATTTAAACAATTTTGATTGTTGATGTGTTTCTTTTTGTATCAGGACTGGTACGTAAAATAGCATCTAAGCAGTGTTCTAGGTTTACTGTTTGTGTTTAACAATGTTTAACGGTGGTCATTCACTCCGCAAATTCATGAGGGATGCGGTAATGTGAGCAGTATGTTGTGAAATGTAAAGTGTTTTCATAAGAGGGTGTTTTTGCTGCTCTCTTCACCTGATAGATGCATTGCCCTATTCTGACCTCTTCTTACTGTAATTTGTTTGTGAACTATATTTGATGTCATGATGTTTTATATATATATAACTATGTTCACCTTGGTGTCCTTTTGAGCCAACTCTACTATTATATGATGTCCTATTATAAAGTATTTCGACCCTACTCCCTCTCTTAGGTAGAAAAACAGTTTGATATTGACATCATGACTCAACTGCAAGAAAATGCGTTTGTGCGAAGCGTTTGGTTCACTACCCCTTTCCTTAAAATTGAATAAATTTGATTTCTATGTTGCCTCGAGGCTTAGCACTGCGAAACGGAGAAGGCTGAACATTCAATTATTGCAGGAGCCACGCCACACTACACATCATTGCAACTTGGACTGGCAGAAGAACGGCTTTTTGGGGGGGGAACAAATCCATACATACAGCTATATATCTATAATGCAGATATGTGTTGGCTACTGACCCTGGGCCAGACTATTCTTGTCTGGAAGGGTGTGGATGGTACAAACATAGTTCCAAATGTCAACCTTCCCTCGCAGGTGAGAACTGGCCCGGTAAAGACCAATTCGAAGGAGGGCGCGTGCATTGTAGACAGGATCTGTTCAAGTGAAGCCTTGCTAGACCAAACAGCAATCATAGGTATTTTGGACAACAAGACTTGGATGATTAACCCACCGTCCTATATCCTTCAATATCGCAAACAGTAGACCAACGGCATAGGATGCTCGGTGTGAACAAAGGTGAGGGTGAAAACACCGTTACTTTGCCCACAGAGATTGGATATTTGGTCGTCACGATCAGTATAGTAACGGGGGTTTGGGAGCCAGGCAGCTCTGGAAAAGCAAACCTTTTATGCATTGGCGCGCTGCTGCGGATTTATATGCAAATCAGCTAAAGACTTAAGCAATCTGAGGCACACTCCTTTATTAAGACTCTCACAAAAACAACTCACTGCCTTCACCCAAACAAAATATCAAGAATGGCACACCAGAAACAATCCACAAGACCACCTCCTAGAGGTTGCATGTATTTGTGGATGTTTCTCAATCCACAGTGGCTGGGGGGAAACGGAGAGCAGAGCTCCAAATCGATCAAATCGAGCTCGGCCAAGGAGTTGGTGAATCTGGGGCCACTCGCTGGGTGAGGAAGACTGGATCATGACTTGTTTCCGGGGTTTTAAGTATCTGGAAGATGGCTGCTTCTATTTTACCTACACATCAACCGACCAAGTTGTTTGGAGTGGTTCGTACATGGCAGATGCCATCTCAAATTGCGGAGTACATGAAAAGGAGTGGAAAAGGAGTGGAAGGAGGTTTCTCATTCCATGGTTTGTACTTACTTGTCCCTCTCAAAAAATATGAAAAGACGTTTGGTTCCATTGGTTCGCTTGAAACTTCTTGGGTTACGAGAACCACGAGATGGTGGCTGAGAGGCCGTCCTCTTGAGGGCACAGGGTTCGGCGGACTGGGGCAGACAGGCGGACAGCAGCATCACCCTCACGCAGTACAAACCTCCAGAACACTGGGTCTCAGTCGCAGAATGCTCAGCCTATCCCAGCAGTTCCATGGGAATTACATCAAATGCATCTTATACGTTACATTTAACACGATCAAAAAGCAACATGGGAGCACAGTGACCCAAGTCCCTAGTCTAAACAAGGGATTCGGACCAGTCCATGATTGGAACGTTCCTGTGAAATGACATGATACAATTCGAGTAATGGATATCGACCCCCGAGTTGCAGCATCTTTCAAGTGATCTAAGCATAGGTGAACTGGGGGTCCATGCTGTTTTCAGGGTGAGGATTTGCCCAGATGGAAGTTGGGAATCATGACAGAATTAGAATCATTTGACTAACGTTTGTGAACTGAAAGATATTGTTCAACTGAACGTCCCAGTCAACATGTCTCCATATGCTGGACTGTAATACTGGATATGACCCGGTCACTTCACCTGGTGAAGCATACCCAACTGACCTTACTGTACCCAGTCGGTCAGTAACCTTTAAGGGCATGGGGGCACCCCAAGAAACAAGAACAGGTGTCGAAAGGTTCACCTCTCTATTTTCCAGCCATGACACTGGCGGGTCGTCAGATACTCCCAGCAACACGGATCGCGGAGAGAAAACATCACCGCTTGGACAGAGCTCTTCCGGAAGGAGGATCCAACAAAAGGAGCATCCGGGTCTACCAGTGATTCCCTGTCGAGGTTCATTCTGGCAGAGTTTGTCTTCCTGCACTATCACACCATGGCCATCCTGTGGACCTCTGCTCCTTGGAGTTTCGGTGGGTTGGGCAATTCCAAAGAGGTAACAGTTTCTGAACATTTTTGTAAGGTTTTTCCGGCGGATTCACTCTCCGCGTGTGTTCATAGAAGCTTCTGAACGCCATAGATCTACCCTAGGCCCTAGGCTTCCAACCACCATATAATGGTTTCTACCGAACCACCATTGTTTAACTAAGGATTTTACACTACAAACCAGGTCCACTATTTTGTTAATGAACCCTGGACTTCCAAGGTCTAATGACTGTTTCGTGGTGTACCAGCAACCTCCAAGGGGTGGACTACCTAAAACAACCACCTTGAGATCTCCATGTTTTCACACCCCAAACATAGCAAAAAAAATGAAATCTCAAGGTAAACAACACCTGGAGCTTTGGTTTGGGGTGTTTTGTTTGAAGCTCCAGGTAAACCGAAGCTCCATAGTTGTTCAAACATCACGTCGGCTGAGCCACCCAAACACCGAGGCGAATCCGCGCGAGGCGACGATCTCCTTGGCCTCGGACGCTCGGGGAGAGACCGCCGGGAGAGACCGGAGGGCTGGAGCCGGAGAGACCCGGGCGAGCTGGTTTGGGAGGTTAAACCTTAACATAGGTTTGTAAGGTGTTGGAAGCAGAATTCTCAGCAAAAACACCGTTGTGGTTGCATGTTTTTTGCTTCATGTTTTGCACACTTCCTCATCTCCCTGTGGAGCACTTGTTCCGTGTTGCTCCGTTGGGGTTGCTGTTTTGGGGTTCCACCCTTTTTTGGAGGGAGAAAGACGGAGAAAGACGGATGTTGCCTTTCGTTTCCTCGGTGGTGGAATCTTCTTTGGCTTTTGAGTTGTCGTCTTCCTGACACTTTGCAAATTGCGGTTGAAGCGGCATCTAAGACTCTAAGACTGAACAACAAACTATTCATGAACTACCCTTGAAACAGGGGCATCCCTTCAGAGCTACAGGACCCTAAGCACTTGCCTGTGCCCATTTGCGCCCTATGGCCCGTCTCCGCCCTGTTTCCCGGTGTGGTGTGGATGCAGGATCCGCCGATCCTCCCCTGGAACCCCCCCCCCCGCCGGCTCGTCTCAGCTGGAGACGAGCGAAAACCAGTGCTGAGGACTGGGAACTTTGCATCTACTACCTTTGTGGCTTTGGATCAGTATGGGCATGGACATGGCCATCTACAGAAGTTCTTCACATGACATGACGGTGTGTGTGTGTGTGAGTGTGTTTTGTTTTGTTTCCCTAATGGAACAACCATGAACCCCCACTTTGTGTGTCTATCATTATAGGATCGCTGGTCGCTAAATGGCAGGAGCACATTCATTGGATGAATTGGGTCTGGTGCCACGCAGCTTGTGGTGGGCTTGAACATAAACCATCCCATGGTGCTTACTTGGAAAGGGTGCTTCAGGAATCTTCAGGAGGCCTAGACTGTTCACTCACAATCGAAACAAACATACAAACATACACAAAACAAAAACACATATGAAACCTTCTACACAAACTTTTTGGCAAGTGCATCAGAAGCTGAACACGGATGTGTTTCTCGGTTCTTCACGGTCATTTGGTGATGACCTGCACCATTTGAGATCAGTGTGTGCTGTGAACATGGTGCTTTGCTCTCAATTCGGGTTCAGGCATTGGACAGACAACAAGGACCAGACCGGAACCACATGGAGGGTCTACTTAGCAGTTTGCTCTCAGGTGGCATGCTCTACATTACCATTTGCATGATGCAGATCAAGCACGGCTTGCCTGCTCTTGGCTTCTCGTCGGGGGCAGACGGATCCAGATGTGTTTGAGAACAGCCATCCGCAACGAAAAAGAGGGCGCCCAAAAGCGGAGTACCTTTGGATGGAAATCTATGGAAAACACGACAAAGTCCACTTCATGACTGGCTATTCTACTTCATGACAAGTTTTGTTTGAAGGGCAAAACGGATTCCAGTTCATGACTGGTTCGGTTTGAAGGGGGGTCGCTGCAGCTATAGATGATCTTGGCAAAGGGGTATGGAACTGAGGGGGCGTTTCCGCCATCCAAATGTTTTTTACTCAGAACGACCAACTTGCTCATCCAATTTTGCTGGTTTTTGATGTGGGTTTGACAACATGTGATCTGTCACCTAAATTGGAGACTTGATCAAGGACCATCTCTGTGGTAACTAGTTGGTTGCAGTCGGGCGTTGTGAATACGCACCCATATCAAAGGGGGGCCCTGGTGCACATGTCTGACGGTGCACAGGTTTGATGAGAAACTTCAAGCCTTCATGTGGCGAGGACACCCATCTGACAGGTCCATTGCGCCATGGGTTCCCATGGGGGGCTTCCCATCTGAAGTGATTCAAGACAGATCTGGAGGAGGACAGATCTGCATGCTAGCTTCTGAGATCAAAAAGGATCAAAGATCCTGCCCAGTGATCCTCGAAGACGCAGTCCGACCAGATGAATGAGACTGGAATAGGCGAAATGAACATGAACATGCCCCAACGATGCATAGATGTTACATGACAGTTGCATTATTGATAACTATTCCAGTAATGGATGATTTGGGGTCTAACACACTTGATCACGACTGACTCACAACTCCTGATGGTCATGGGCTTGGTGGATCCCAAGAGCCCCAAAAGAGGCCCCTGCCTTGGCCCGCTTGGACCCTCACTCCCTCACTCCAAGCCATTGACCCATCCATGGCACCCTCCGTTCCTAACGATTCCTATAGGTGATCACCTCCCCTTCGGTCGTCGACAGACAGACTCCCAACACCGGTATAGCGACATATAAGATTATAAGATGTACACCAGCACCTTCCAGTCGGGGTGCCCTGTCTCAAAGCCTAGGCCTGCTTGTGTGGGGTAGTCCAGCCAGGACACCCCTGTCTCTCCAAGGGTCCAGGTATATGTCTCTTGGTTCAGAAGAGTGAGGCACTGACTCCTTGAGACCGAAGACCATCGAGTTGTTCTCGCCCTCCTCCATCTACACCGCCCCTTGGATCGCTGCCATCGAATCCATTGAACCGCGCGAAGTGGGCGGAGTCGTGGCGGGGTGGGTTGTGAGGTGTTTCTTTTAACATTGATTCTGATCCTGGTTTTCAGAGGGTTTTGGTTGATGCAGAGGTCGTGGAATCTTGCAGTCAGAGCCGGCAGCATGGATTGGACATGTGGTGATGCAGTGGGTTGTGAGGAGGAGAGGACGGAAAAAGCACCTTAAGAACTTAAGATTCTGTCAAACAATCTCCTTGGGGCATCATCAGTGTGCTACAAGGTCCGGGTTGAGAAAACCGAGGTCGGGTGTCGTGTTAGTACACGGGGTCGTTGGACCCGAAGATCTCCGAACTGAGGAAAAGCTTTGGTACTACTTCTTCCTCGTGCACTACAATCTTCCCTTTGTCGACGACCTCCGTGTCATTGTCGACTGGACTGTGGTGGCTTGGCAAATACACCCCTTGGCAAGAGGCATAGACTTGTTCGATACAAGAGGAATGCGAGGGTCTGCGTTCACATATAGGTGCGTTCATCATTTTTTCATGGACTGCTGAAGTCAGTGGTGAACTTCAGAAACCTCCAGGGTCCAACCAGCTGTCACTCATGCATGAACCTCATTGAGTGGCCAAGGGCCAAGGTGTGGGACCTCATTGAGCTTTGCCCTTCAAATCGAGCGTCGAACTGGAACCGTTCTCCGTGGACTTAGCCTCGTTCTCCGTGGCGCTCAGGTTCCCACCAGTCTGGACCTGTGGATGTACTGGACCTGTGCGCGGATCGTTTTCTTTTTTTGGGCGCATCGGTGTGTGTGGGCTAGACGTGGGTGCCATGTCCCCGGCACAGTCACCAACAGGCGACCCCGGGTCCATTCCTGGTGCGACGGTGGGTCCATTTTTTGTTCAGCGGCAGTCTTGCAAGGAAAAGGCATCGAGAAAATTCAAGCCACAAGACTCACAAGACTATACTCTTTTCATCTCTTTTCCTGTATACTACACACTGGAAATTTAACATGGAACCTGAAAACCACTGGGTTGTAGAGGAAAATAGTCTTCCAAAGGTCCATTTTCAGGTTCCATGTTAATTTTCCCGGGTGTATATACTCACAAGGAACATCGGTACCTCAAAGCAAACTAAGTAATATTGCATGATCGAGACAAAAGGAGTGACTAGCAGCAGTATCTTCTGAAAGTCCCACTATAGAAACTAATGAAGGTCATGCACTTGATGATGCCCTTCTTCCACCAGGAAGGTGGAGGATGCTCACAGCTCCTTCTATCGCTCGAGGTGGGGTGCCACATGGGGGGTGGTGTTTGTGCTGTCAGACTGCAGAGGCCTGAGGAGGGGCCCCCCTCTGGGGTTCTGATAACCAACCATCGATCACAGAGGGATGCAGCAGATTTCATTGGGTCTCACCATGTCCGACCATGTCCCAATCATTTTGGTCCAGACTGGCCCATTCTTTATGACCCGCTGTGGACTGTCCCACCATGCGGCCTTGCATGATCCTATTCAGCTTGTCTTTAGAATTATCTTAGACTGAAACCATTGAGGCGAAATTGAACATCTCCGAATGCGAACTGCATCTACTATTCCTCTTGCCTTGCGCCAGAGTTCTGGCTTTTCCTCGTCATACACACAATCCAGTCACAAGACAGGGTGGTGTGGCTCGTCCCATGCAGTGAGTGGATAGTGGGCACCCCTAACCTCCATGAAGCACCCCTAACGAACGTGACCGCCGAACCAGCGAGCGTCGCTGATGTTTGCTGCGAGGCACCTCATGTTTGTGCGTGGTCAGTCCTACTATGCAGAAGAGCGAGACCTGCTCGACGCATGGCACATGGAACTGCGCTGTTCTTTGGTGGTTTCTATGTCTTTCCAGGGTAGTTGGACATGTTTCCACTGCTGACGGGAACCTGTTTCTTTGAATGAGAAGTTCGATCCGAAGTATGAATCGCTGGTTGAGTATTTCTCTCAAATGTTTTACTTGGAGTTGCATGAGCCCTCCATGGGACTGAAGAACGCCCTCTACACGATCGGACCTTCGTTTCGAAGGTGGGACTGGGGTAGGTTTAGAGGGTCCAAATACCTTCTAAGGAGGTGCTTGGAGCCCTAGGGACATGGACCCCTGAAAAGAAAACCACTTAAAACACTCAGGGAGTCTCGTGGATTCTCTGCAAACGTGAAACTCATTTCTTCGATACCTCTGACCTTCGGTACCCCCCCAAACCGTCCACGTGTTCCGGTACGGAGACGCGCCCTTTGTGAACGAGAGCAAAAACCCAGCACGACCTCCGCGCGATTTCCCGCGGAAACGGCGGCCTTCGTCGCTCAGGAGAAGTTTTACAATGGCTGGGCGATCTTGTGCGGTGTGGTCTTAGTGATTCTGATGCCCATCATCGTCTTCTCCCCCTTCTCACCCTTTCCCAACACGGCTGCGTGGCTGAGTTAGTGCTTTCACGCTCCTCAGGAAACAGGGGGGGTGCTGATTTGGGGTGACTTGGAGAGAACCCTTTCTAGAAATGTCGTGTTTGTTAGATTCATCAGGAACCCCTCCTAGCATTTCTATCGATTGGCCAGAAGGGAGGAAGACTTTCTTCCGTCCGCCTTTGTTCAGAGACAAGACGCGAGGTCTTGGTGGAACATGCGGACATGGCACTGGGCATGACCGTGGCGTCCTCTTGCTATGGGGCATCACGGCAGCAGCTCTGCAGGCGGGAAAAATGGAACCGACCGTTGCGGATTTGGTGAACCGACCGACCGTTGCGGGCAAAAAGGATGGTGGCATGGCATGGAAACACAAAAGGAAGCGGAGGGAACTACCAGGCTTGTAGTACATAGGCCAGGCCAAATGCCTCGCTTGCGAAAAGCACCTGAAGTATGTGCCACGTTGGAGGTACGTGGAGTTGGAGCTTTTTGCCGCTCCGGCGCTGCAGATTCAGAGCGGCTCGGCCGGACTGCGGTAAGTTCTTATATGGTGTTAACACGAAAGATTACTGATGTTGGAAATATAATACGCGGAGATCATTGCTACATATTGCTACAACGCACTGACTCTACAGCAATCTGCAAAGGTGCTGATTCTGAATATCGGTTCGAGGTTAGAGTGTTCGGGAGTATCCATGTACACCGCACCTTATTGTGGGCCACGTTCTCGTTGATGTCTCCTTGCTGGTCAGAAAACATACATTTCTGTGGTGGGAGCTGTCCCTTGTTCCAAGGCATCCAGTGCCCCAGGGAAACAGCTTCAAGCAGCTTGAGCATAGCGAAAACTCACCCGATCACATCCTACCAGATCACATCCTACCAGATCACATCCTCTACCTTTCCACTGTTAACAGGTCACTGGTCGCTTGAATTGAGGGTCGCTGGAACTTCTAGGGCCAGTCAGCTACCTGGTAGAGGAGTTGTCATCCTTTTCTTGAACTGAGATGCCTGAGGATACAACAGCTCGCAGACGCAGAAGTACCTCCAGCGCCTTGGCAAGAAGGGACCGAAGCGCGACGCAAGCGAACAGAAATCCAATCAAATTTTCCAGAAATTCCCAGACCATCCATATGTGGAATAGTTACTCACATGGATGGATGGGTCAAGTTTATGTATATAAATGTATATAACTATTCCATGGATGGTTTGGGTATGAGGAAATTCAGTGAGCAGTGGCAGTAGCGTATTGTAAAAGTAGGACACTGATGGTTTTTGGTTTCTCCTTTCATTCGGAGTCATCATTTGTTTTGGAAGGTTGAATATTGTTGTGTTTGCAGGGTTCTTGCACTGTTAAATAGTTAGCCCCAATGGGTTATATAACTCACTAACTAACCTGTCACGGAAGAAGCTACTTTGAAACATGGAGCTTCATCTATATAGTAGAGGCCAAAACTCTTGGTCCATCGGATAAGCCCCCGAGGAAGATTGGGATTCTTTGTGGCTTGAGACCTCATACACTTACGCTTCTCCTGGCAACGGAGGCTGTGTGAAAGTGAATACAACATCTGCGATCTGGCAACTGCCAACTGCTTGACTAGAACGCAATCATGATATATATCATGATTAATTACCCTCCCTGCAAGAAACATGGAAGTGGAGTTCACCACCTGTTTGTAGAGCCAACTGGTCTTTCCAGAGACCATGACATCCACTTCCATGATGGTCGGAGGGAGGGTAATCAATTTTGTAGGGCCGCTGGCCATCCCTGGCCCACATCATCAGAAGGTAGGGACAAATTCCCCAAAACCACCCTCACCGAAACGGAGCTAGCCCAAAAGTATGACTCTTGCTGGAACTAGACAGAGACTGGAACTCATCCTTTTTTTGGTATTCGGATTTCATGGTCTTCCTTAGGGGGGCCGTGCCATCCACATTGGCCCCTGAGGATGTTCCAGGGTATGTTGGGTCAATGAGTCCCTTCTTCGGCTTCTGGATTTGAAGACCCGGTCCATGCAGGTCTCGGAGTGCTGTTGAGCTCCCCGCCCTAGTCTGGAGTCTTTCAGCTCGAGCGAAGACTTTGTTGATTTTCCAGTGAAGGGGGCAGGACTGGAAGATGTTAAGAAACCACATGGAATGGTGTGATGGGTCCTTTTTGGAGAGCCATGGAATGGTTTGGGTTGGGGAACTCGTTGCTTTTTTGTTGGCTCACCATGGTGACCAGCGCACCTTTTTGAGCGATTTCGCTAGCCAATTGGCACGTGTGGCCTAAGGGACAACCCGCGGGTCAATACGGACATTGATATCCAAGATATCAAATGGCCGTGGTTTTCCAAGGACGGACAGGGCCGACTCGCGCGAGCACCTCCTTTGTTTATGCGATCATGAAAAGCAAGTATTTGTTAGATGGGTCGACAAAAAAGTGTATTGGGGATGTTTGTTCCATTTGTGCCAAAAGGAATGCGTGAGGTTTACACCTGGTCACAGGAGATTAGAGGGAGACCCGTTTTGTATAGATGGTTGACAGGATGACGGAGATCACCCTCACCCATTGCATCCTATGAGGGGGGTGAAGCATGTACCCTTGGAGTTAAGGACCATTAGCTGACTCACAGCGGATGGGGATTCCCGAAAAGCGCGCCCCTGGAGAAAGGAGGTTCTTTTTTTGGTTGTACTGGTAGCTGCTAGTAGCTGTAGTGCACGGAAAGATGGTCTTAGCGACAGCAGGTCAATTGAAATTCCAGGTTTGATGTCGACACTTCGGCCCTGCACAAGTATGTACCCCACACGTCAACAAAGCTGAGGTTGCCAGGGAAAGCTATTCATGAATGAACTGCACCCAGACCATCCATGTGTGGCCTATCTACAAAAGGAGTGGTCGAAAAGGAGTCTATTTCGGCGATATCTTCCACACAACGGCAAGTGCCTTACTACTAGGAGCAAGAAGCTACTAGGAACAAGTGCCTTACTAGTAGTAACAGGTGCCTTACTAGTAGTAACCAAAAGCTACTAATACTAGTAGTCTCATAGGCCCGTGGATCAGACATATCACCTCCGATCCCACCCTCCGGGAAGCTGGAAGAGCCCAACCCAACATCGCAAAAACACACACCAAAAAAACTAGACAGAACTCCCTGGCCCTTCCCCCCCCCCAAAAAAAAGAGCTCCTCGCTCGTTGACTCCCTTCCTTTTGTGGAGGAGGCGATGCATGCATCTCCTGCGTTGGTGGAAGAGGTGCAAAAGATCATGGACGAGGCGCCCGCGCTCACGGCTCCGGGCACGGCAGCTGCCTTCGCCCCACTCTGCTCCTCCGAAACCACGCTGCTGCTCCGCGTTTGACACGTCGTTGGACACCGCCCGTTCGAGTGGATCGCCTGTCCAACAGGTCGACAACGACGTGGAAGTTTGATCTCGTTGCTTTGCGGTGCATCATTTGCTGAAACCGCGCTTTTCCGATGGTTTCGACCAGGGGGTGGCGTCGCCGCGAACTTTGCGTACGACGTCGCGTGATGGGGCGAGGATGGGTGCAAACAGGTGGAAAAAGGTTAAGAATGGGTACCAGTAAAATGGGTACAAGTACCGTTTTTTGGGGGGGTCATGTCCCATTTTCTAAGGTACTTTGGAGGGTCCAGGTATATAGTTATTTTCCAGCGAAAGTGAAGGGGTCAGCGATAAAGCAGAAGTGCACAAAGAAGCAAATATAAGCCAGACACTGCATGGGAATGGAATGGTTACCTGCATTAGGGTATATTACAGTCATATTGCAACTATTCTGTACATGGAGTGTTTGGGTAAGCAGACATAGGCAGACAAAGAGTTGGCCGTATTTCGTTTTTGGGCTGAATGAACCGCATCGCTGTGCATCACCCCCATGAATTGTGCTCTTCAACAACTGTGCTGGACACTGCAGCTCCATTTGGATCAGCTCGGTCAACCACACACCCCGAAAAGTGAATTTTCCAGCTTCTTCAAATGTGATTATGCTCGAGTCCCATCCAATGACTGTCTACAGGCCTTTTCGTGAAGCCCAGCAGATCAAGGTCGGCCCCTTTGAAGAAACAAGTTTGATGCAGAAACACCAGGGTTGGTTACGCCGCAGGCGACCACAGGGCTGGACATCGCGGTGGTCTTCGCAGCTTGGCCGAGTGGTCAGCCCGAAGAACCACTTCAAGCCTTCTCTCCCCGAAAAGTGTTTGTGGCCTCAAGAGTGATTTGTCAAGGGCATGGCTTTCCAACATATATATATATACATATACATATATATACTATATAATGGTCTCCACAACGACAACGACGACGAAAGAAGCAGTACACACGCAAACAATGTACAGAAGGGTGGCCTGCGGTTCTCCAAGGTAGATGACCACCAGGAGTATATAGTAAGCATGCAGCATGCATGTCTATGCCATTGAATGATCACGAAAGCTAGCCTTAGCTAGCTGGAGTTGCTCTTGCTTTAGCAAGTTAAGTGACGGGGTGGACGCACCTCAGAAACCTCAAATAATTGATTAAATCAATCTTATGGACCCCCCCCCCCCCCGCGGTTCGACTCCCCCCTGCGCGCGGTGAGCGGGACCACCAAGCAGCTGCAGCACACCAAGCATCTGCAGCGCCCAGCGCAGCAGCGGCAGCAGCAGCAGCAGCAGCACCAGCAGCAGCAGCAGACCACCCAGCGGCGGCAGCAGCAGCAGCATACCCAACGCCGCGGCAGCAGCAGCCGCAGCAGACCACCCAGCGCCAGCAGCAGCAGCAGCAGCAGACGACCCGGCGCCTGCAGAGCACCCAGCGCAGCAGCGCCCAGCGCAGCAGCGGCAGCAGCAGCACCAGCAGCAGCAGCAGCACCAGCAGCAGACCACCGGAAGCCCGGCTAGCTTTCGTTCACCCCCTCTGGCCTCAAGTCAATGTACCAAGTCTTCAAGATATTTGCATCCTTCAATATGCCTTCCAACGCTGGTTGCGCTTTGAAAAGAATGCATGCTTCAATATGTCTCTTAAAAGAGGCGTCGCTGGAGAACCTGTGGGTCAGGTGCCCAGCTGCGCCCGCCTCAGGAGCTTCGCTACAGCTTGCAACGCTCGGTGCTGGGCGTGTCAAGCCACCGGCGCTCCTTGTGCTCCTGCGCACCCAGCTGTGGCAGCCGGGGATCCCACCAAGTCCTTGTGCTGCGGGGGAAGCGGCTGATCTGGTTGGATGATAGCCAGGAGTTATCTGTGTGTGTGTGTGTTTAGAATCACCGAATTTTTGCACAAGGATGGATGGTTGATGCAGGTGTCCTGTGAACAATCCCCCAAATATTTGAGCGGAATGGAACGTATGGCTTGGGCTTTGGTGTGCCATTTTATGTTAAGATGCATTGTCCTTCTTGTAAAGAACAAACACCTAAGGTATCCTAAGGTTATTTAAAAAGAAAACTAGTGGGTTGGCAGTGGGTCAAAGCCAGGATACCTTGGTTGACCTACATGGAATTCCAGGTTACATGGTGTTTTTGTGCTCCAGGTTTGGACCTGTTGACCCTTAATCATTTGGTATTTTTGCTCGTGTTGTGTTGCTTTATGCGTTATGTAAAGTTGTTTTCTCCAGAGTTCTTGACCTTTCATGCACCGTAGCTGAGGATGAACACCGTGGCCACCCCGCCAAAAAAAGAAACTCTATGTCACTGTTGTGACTACCCATAGGTATTGAACATTTTTACTGTATACCCTAGAAGTCCAAAGACTATATGTTGACCGACTGAAGTAAAGGAACTTCCTTTTTGGGTCACCTAAAGACCATTCATTGTATAGTCTTTGACTCCCAGGGTATACACTATTGCAACCATCCAAAATACACTGACTCTGACGAACACATCGACACGGGTTAGTGGACAATAGGCCCCGCGGGGGGGTGTTCCACGTCCAACGTTCGTTCCAGGGAGAGAACAATACACCAAGACCAGGTGTTCACAAAACTACAGGTGACAGGATACCTGTTTGTCATGAAGGATACCATGTCCAGGCGCTCCCAACCACTCTACCGTTCGTTCCACCGGCGACTCGGAGCTCTTCCTGCGCCAGGTTTTGCCGCCTTTCCAGCGCGCGTGTCGGAGCTCTGTAGTGCCGGTGAGGTGGCGGGAACCGCGCGCCGTGTTGAGCGTGGGTCGGCGGAGGGTGGGCGATGGATCACATGCACTTGGGTCTTTTTTGGGGAAGGGTGGGCGAGACTAGGATAGATCAAGATGCTGGAATATGAAGACTGTATATTGATATATATTTTGGTGACGTGTACATCCAAAGTTGAATTCCAAACTGAGCTGTCTGAGCCTGAGGGTTTGGTGACCTCCGTATTCCTGTTCGACTTCGTTACCCTCTTTTTACTCCAGGGGTCGGAACCTTCCACGGTGCTTCAGCCATGTCAATGCCAAGAGGTTCCTCCGGTCACATGGCGAGCAAAGCGTGCGTACGAGCGACTGAAGAGGAAGAGAAGAAACAACACACAGAATAGCAGGTCAACAGGAGACACATAGGCACATCATGAGACTAGCCTTGACAGCACATATCATAATATGTCATAATCATCATAATCACAGTCCTACCAGAGATTCGAAAGGAATGTTGCTGACACCCTAAGGGAGTGGATAGTTGGCACATGTCGACACCCTCGCCTTCCAGCTAGCAGCCCATTTGGAACCTCTCAAGTAGGGGTTCTTTTGAAGTGACTGCAGGAAGCCCAATCTGAAGGAGCATCATCATGGGTAATCCAAACTGGAAGTACATCTGCAAAACAGATTGAAGTTCCTTGGTTCTGGACAGAAAGGAGGGGGCTATGAATTGATCCAAAAGACGCTACTGTAGCTCGGGGCTCTGGTCTCTTTCTTCGACCACAAGGGAGAATTGAGGTACATGTCGTAGGCACTGGCACCCAACCGCCGCTCGTCATCTGTTTCTAGACGTTTTCATGCACAGCACGCCGAAGAAGGCCGCCATTTGACAGATCCTGCATGTCTACAGCAGTTCTCCATGGATCCAGATAAAGTCTGAGCTGGTGATTGCAGACACGTTATGTCGCCTTGCAGGGTCCAGTCGTACCGAACCTGAGAAGGTATGTGCCACCACCGGCAGAGCCCAAGAACTGGGGGTTCTTGATGTGAGTTGTGAGCCCACCCACCCACAGCATACTGTGTCTAACTGTTCCAAGTGTTCCCATATGTCCCATGCAGGATCAACATTCTCCACTCCAGCCACACTTCTCCTGCCAGCTCCGCCTTTGTGACTAGTAGCCTCTTGCTACTAATAGCGATCCCCAGCCCCGCGTGCCACATGCGCCATGGCGGAGCCTCCCCAGTGTCGCTTCTGCTTGGGCGACGCGGGCGATGACGACGAGCTGGTGGCGCCGTGCGAGTGCCGTGGGGGGCAACGCTGGGTTCACTTGGCGATGCTTGGTTGGAAGCGAGGGAGACAGCTCATGGCAGGGTGCCCATGGAAGGGTGGAACTGGAGAGACGCCAGGAGCCAGGAGGGGTTTGCTTGGTCTTGATGATATGTTTGGATACAGGCAAGAAAGATCCACAGGGGTGATCAAGCGACGATTTGGTAACTGGTAACTGCCTGCTTGGTCCTTTGCTGTTAAATGAAGAAAAACACCGAAGAGAGGACTGCAGCCCAACACCATGTTTGAAGACCTCCCAGTTCACGGTCCACTCGTCCCAAGACCACCCATGACGAGTGGACCGTATGTTCAAACGTTGAAAACACGTCAAGCCGACCTTGGAATCCACCCGGTTCCCGGCACGAGAGTGCCGCACCGTGAAAAACCAGCTCGTTCGCTCCTGAGCCCTGCGCTATCAGCGCGCCGGCGCCGGAGCCCAACGACCATACATTTGTGGAACAGTGGAATAGTTATATACTTTTTAGGGCCATACATGGGCTAAACGCCATGTAATTATAACTATTCCATATTCCCAAGACCGCCATGGAGTGTTTGGGAACGCATCACATCACCCGAGGTGCTTGAGACGATGGCAAAGATCCATCTTGGTGACCCAACCAACCCATCCGGCTCTCATCCAGGACCGAGTCGGACCGGGCCATGGTAACAAGTTGAGCCCCTTCTGCGAGTTGGAGTGCGTTGGGTTCGGTGGCGTCTCTTCCCAATTGCTTGTTCCCAACTGTTTGGAGATGGTCGGAGATGATTGTTGCGCGGATCAAACTGCCATTCACGAGCTTTCAGGGACTTTGAAAGCCGAAGGTCACTGGTATACTGTCCGGGAAGGGATTCGTGGGAGCAGGTTTGGAGCTTCAGCTGGTTTCAGGCTTAGGAGATGTTCGGGTATTTCACTGACCTCTGCTCTAAAGTGTAAGGCATCCATCCAGGGTCAGCTTCTTCCCCGCTCCAGGAAGACCGGAGGATGACGCACTGCCAAGTCTGCCTGGCGAAGCTCACCTGCCCAGCGCTCTCGCGACATGAGATGATGCTGCAATTCACGGGGCAGGAGTCACTTGGATCAGTTCGGGTGCATGGTATATCCATGTATATATATATATATATACCAATGTTCGTAATAGTTTGGACATGTTTTTGATCAGCTTAATCACGTGAGCTGAATGTAACAAACAAACATGTCGGTCTGCCACAATACCACAAGTATAGAGCACAGAGGAAATTATAACAGCTGACAGGCTGACCCAAAGTATAGTTTGTACAGTGCTTGTACATGCTTGTGCCACCAAAGTCAGTGGGGTTGTGATCCCAATTGACTTGGCCTTTCTCCGCCAGTCGTAGCTGAGGCTGGCATCACTGGTCCGAGAGCAGAGCTTGATCTCATCCTCACAGGCGGGGCGGAGCCTTTTCGGAGCCTCACCGAGCCGCCGGAGGTCACGGTTGGTGCGGAGCCTTTTCGGAGTGGAAGGAGCCGCGACTGTTGGAAGGGAAGGGGTATGAAGGGCGGGGGTGGTTCAGGTTGGATTTTCTGATCATCGACGCCAAACAGCTTCTGGAATATGTCAGCCTCGGACGTTCAATTGAAGACATCAAAGAATCCATTCGACAGAGATTAGGGGTGTCCAACAACCACCCGGTTTATGGGTCCCGGACGTCCCGGCTGGGTTTTGGGACCTTTCGTGACCTCGACCGCTCCTATGGATTTTCCAACCAACTGGTCAAACCCCGCCGACACGTACAGCCCGAACCACAAAGAAGATGGGGAAAGTAACATAAATTAACTTATGAAATCTAGTAATTAACTTTCAGAAAGGAACCTGGATCAACCATAGTCAGCCTTTCAATGCAGTGGCTTCTTTGGAACAGCATCGGCCAGTCCAAAACATGGGGCGAGCGAGGCCTGGTCAGATGCCCTCTTCCATCACCTGCGGCGTGTCGCGGACCGTCGAAGCATCAACAATTTCGTGCATTGGAGTCGCTCCTCGGCTGGAGATCAAGACGGATTTGGTGATGATCAATGGAACATCGCCTGCCAGAATGGCTTTACATCTGCATGTTTGGCGGGGTGAGTCATCAATTGTCTAATCCATTATGGTCAAACACACATTCCTGTGTGGGTTTGGGGATGCTTTTATACTCAGTTGAAGGTCATTCAGTCATTCATATCAAAAATATCCAACACTGCCAAAATTCGCGGGCACCTGATCCGGTCGTCTACGTTTCTGATTGTAGTTAACAGTTTGGCGTATTGTTGTGTGTTCCAAATAGCACTGTGGTGCAGCCGGTGGGATCTAGGTGAAGGGCTATGATGGGGATTTGTACACCCAAGATTTGCCCAAAGGAAGATGAAAGTGGATATTTCATGTATGGCATTACTCTTTGGTTGGAAGAATATAATGTTCCTTCCCGCAAAGCTGGAATTCCCACTTCCATGCTATGCGAACGTGCACGCTATGCTTGTGTGATTTTGTTCTGGTGGGTGTTGCCCTTCAAAAGAACGTGTCTTGGACGGCATCGCAATATGATGGAGTGACTGACAGACCGTCAGTCAGTGACTCATGCTTCTTTGATTCTTTGGGGTCTTCCGTCTTGACGGTTCATCTACAAAATGAACGCGGCCTGCTTGGCAGAACTGACGTGTCAGTCCCACTGGTGTGAACACACCCAAACCCTCCATCAAATGCTTTTGTGTTTTCAAGCCCAGCTTGGGAGAACTAAAGATTCATGACTTCCAGGCTGGCCCACAACCTCATTCGCAGGGGGCCCAGACCTCAGTTCAGTTGGTCATCCACCTCCATTTTCCTCCACCAACCTCAGGCAGCAGCTACCTGATCTACAACTGTGGACCAAAGCAGTTGGCTCTGAGCATTCCGGATGAAGCCAATCGTGAGGCGGTGCTGGACAACCTGGACAGCCTCTTGGTGGCCGTCTTTTCTTGGGTGTTTTTTTGAGCAAAATCCTTTGCCACTTGAACTTGACAATACTTCGTATAGACTCAAATGGGAAGAAACGAAGAAAAGAAGCAGCAGGAGAGAAGAAGCAGAAAAAGATGAAGAATATGGACAAACAAACAAAAAGAACAATAAACACATAAATAAACTAAAGACAAACAATATATATTGACATAGATCATTCTTGAGATACATTGATACAAGTTGATACTATACAAGAGTTACAAAAGAGACATAGACATAGGCTAGGGGGATTCCCATTACAGTATTAGGAGTTGTTGGAGTTCCTCCATGAACCGAATCATTCTGGCAATCAGAACGAAGACGCTGACGTGTTCAGCTACTTTTTCCTCATGATCATCATGCTGGTTGTGAGCCAATCTACTGTATGTATTCAGATTAGCGAACAATTTGAGTTGGAGAAGCAGAGCTACACTGTGCGTATCATCGCTTGGGAAGCTGGAACACAGGAACACTGTCTTATTTGTGAAAGACTTGAACCATACCGGCTTTTTGTTGATGTGGATGGTGGTTTATGCTCGTCTACCGTCTTCCTGCGCCTTGAAAAAACAATTTGGAGTGCCCTTCCACTCCAAAAAAGTAAGTGGAAGATCATTCTTCTGTTAGCTGGAACCGAGCATTGTGAAAGTCCGGGTCCTTTGGATTCTCCTCCGGTCACGACCGGGTGGATCCGTGCGACCGGGACCCGCCACGACCCGGACGTTCTTCACACCGTGGGTCCCGTGACGTTGGAAGTCCAAAGTGCATAGACATATAGGTGCGTACGATCATGAGCCCCAAAATGGGGGTGTATCAAGATAGGGAGACCTCCTTTCTCGCCCCTGGCTGGGTAGACTGGATGCTTTTGGTGTCTTTTGGTCTAATTTTCCGGAGCCTTCCAGTCCCCAAAGACGCCTTGATGGGACCTGGCATATTGATCAATTAGTGATCAGCATAAAGATTCCAGTTTCAGTGTTCGGGATTGAGAACGATTGTTCAGTGTTACGCCCTGGAAGAGGTCCACATAGAACCTGAAAAACATACACCAGTTTGGAGGAAAATCGTCTTTATTCTGGCCCATGCCATCAGGTTCCATGTGAGTCTCTTCCGGGGTGTAGTTTCAGTGTTTTGTTTTTCCGGGTGCCACGCTCCATATTTTTAGGCGCTGGGCACTTGGAGATCCAAGGGAAGCAGTACAGGCTGCTGAGGGAGGGGCCGTTGGCCCCAAGCATCTCGGTGTGAATGTGGTGAAATTTGGGTGTGTACCTCAATAGGGAGACCCCAACCCCAATAAGCCCTATGGATCCACATACCTTCTCAGAAGGTGATTGGAGACACTGTTATGTAGGTGCCGTTGTCGGGTCCAGTCGTACCGAACCTGAGGTTCGGTACGACTGGATTCCTAGGGAAGTAGACTGTAGACTGCTCGATTTTCCGAGCCTTCCACAGGGTCGTTGCCGGGGGTCGGTGCTCCCCAAATGAGCCACACGCCTTCGCCACCCCTTGGGCGCAGATGCACTCAGCGAGGATCACGGCGCCGTTTTGGGTACGGGGCCACCGTTGCTGGTCGTGCCTGGAAGCCTTCGACTTGTTGTAGTCATAGAAGAATATATTCACATGCCTGACACAATAGATATTGTGGAATCTACATCACACCGTAAATATATTAGTACCAACAGCAGGGTGTTTGCTTGAGGTGATTGAATGAAACCAGCTGGTCACCACAAAAGCCTGAACCTGTAGCAGCAGCTTCTACATGTAATGTATTTGAGGATCCAAAGCGCCTCGAATTGAGACTCGTGACCACGACCGAAAGCACACCAAACCCCGATGACCCCGTCCATCTCCGTTTGCAGAACTACTACATGGTGAGCCCCAAAATGGGGGTGTATCAAAATAGGGAGACACCCTTTCTCGCCGCTGGCTGGGTATACTGCTCTATTTTTCTCCTTCCAGCGGATCGAATGGGGGTCGGTCTCCCGACCTTTCAATACACATCCAGTTACACCCTACGACCAAATACGCAGTTTGGGGGACTCTGTAACCAGAGTGCCTTGGGTTTTGGGGATTCTGTACCAGAGTACCTTGGGATTCTGCAGAGTCCGACTGTTTAGGCACAGAGTCCTACGGTCTAGTCCTGCCCGGACTGGACTGCTGCATTGACTCAGTGACTCCACTCATGAGCAGCGCTGAAGCTGAGGTAGTCCACCATCGGAGCGCTTGGGCTGCAGATGCAGTTCTAGCTCCAAGTCCAGTTGGTTCCTAAAGACAGGGAATGAAGATCAACTGGAGCCTCTCAAGGTTTAAGACTCAGCTTGAGAAGGTAGATCCTAAAATTGTAGCTGAAGGTATGTTTGCATGTTCTAAAAGTTATTGTACTGTTTCATTATGTTTTTGCGTATCTAATATATTTAGCTAGTTGGACTAGGCAGAGCTGTCCGCTGTCCAAACCTCTCAGCCAACCAAAGAGGCTTGGAAGATAAGAACATATGAAGATTACGATGAATTGAAAAAGACAACAACCAAAACATACCAAAACTACTTTAGTTGTACTTGACTACTCACAAACCACGAAGAACTAGAACTGAGAACAAATCAGGCGGCACTGCATATAAATTTGTCATATATATATAGACGTGAGGGTGTGGGACCCGGCATTGGCATTTGGTTTATCAGCAGCGAGCGAATGGAAGCTAAACTGTCCTATATAGGGCTGGTCCTATACGAATGGCCAGCCGGTACTGTCAGCCGGAGAGTGTGAGCTGTGACCAACGACACACCACGCAATTCCAGCTCTTCAATCAGACACTTGCTCAAAGCTAAGCCAACTACTGTACAACAAAGCCATAAGCCATAATTCTGCAGCCAGATGAATGTTTTGGTTTATGGCATATCCTGACTCACGTAGATGGAAAAGGTTAAAAGGGAAAATGGCTACAGCTTTAGAATCTACACTCCTGCAGGCTAACATGGAGCCACTTGGTTGTTGAGGAAAGTGGTCTTCCACCGGTGATCTCTGAGGGTATGCTGACATAATTATGACTTGTCACATCCATGTCCTGACAATGTTCCACGCGCGCCTTTGTCCATGTTGAGGCCGACGACGGATGTCGCAGATGTGTCAAGCCCCAGCCTCTTCCAAGCGATTTCGGACGCTTGGAAGAGGGCACACTGTTAATTTTGTTTGCGAAGATCACTGGGAAAGAATGGGAAAGGAATGGTTCAATAAGAGCGAACATCCTGTGGCTCATTTTGACCCAGAATGCGAGTAGGTTCTTGGATAAGACATCGCGCGGCTCTATTGCATTCTCTAATCCAATGTTTATTCATGACAATTTGGAAAATGCCGAGAAATCCAGTTGCCAAAACAATGAGGAACCATTACTGGATTGTCCTACTTCCACAACAGACGTGTTCACCCCACTTGGTTCGGTCATAGCGAAATTCATTCACCCCATGTGTTTGCTGAACGGTCTGCCCCACTTTTACGTCGTTGCAATAATCCTATTGGACTTAGACTTGAGACCGGCTGGAGGATAGGCTTGGGAGAGGGATCTTGGACAACTCCCCACGATGGATTTGTCTCAAGCCTTCAGCTGCGACCGGCGAGATCCATGTCTTGGTGTCCTATCCCAGACGATCCATGGGAATTGGAAGAGTATGGAATAGGTACGGAGGATCAACTATCCAAAATATGGCCTTATCCCATCAAAAAGGAGGTCCAATGGATTTCTAGGTACCTAATATATCTATCTATATATATATATTTATACCCCATGTATGAATACACTGTTACGATCCGTACTAATGTAACAACGTAGGTAACTATTCCAGTTCCCATGGATTGTTTGGTGGTTCGACAGACGAGTCTCCGAGCTCGTCCCACTCTGCGATCGCGACACTCCGGAACTGACGGACTCCACCTCACCGATGAGTTCCAGGTGGTTGATTTCAGGGGTCAATGTCACCTTCCAGTCCTAGACAGGTGCTTGTTTAAGTGATTCAACTGTGACGCCCTGTGTAGGACTGGAATCTATGCCAATTGATCCCTGAAATCAACCAGTCCAATGTAGGTAAAGAGGCCAGTCCCATGGATGGTTCGGGTATATAAATTCATCTCAGTGAGGCCCTTCAAGTGCCAACGGAAGTGAATCTGCAGCTGGTGGATGACAGCGATCGGAGTGATGACAGAAGCTGGGCACAAGGATGAAACACCTTTTGCACATGGGATGTGGCTGGTAGTTGAAATCATCCTATTTTCGTCAGAAGGGGACCTTGAGATTTCCAGGTCCGACCGAGGATTCACTCCGCGCGGTTGTTTTTCTCAAATTCACCATTTGCGATGCTGGTCGTCTTTGGCCGGTTTTTCAGAGCAGTGCCTGGGTCGAAGTTGGCTAACTCGAAGATAGAAACGTATCCAGATGGCCACGAGTCCGGCAGATGGACGAGGACACGTTGCTTTTACTGTGCGAAGAGTGGATGCAAACCAATCTTGTGAGATCGAGCATTCACATTTAAACAAAGTGAAGCGGTTCTGACGGAATGAATCATTTTGGAGCAGTTCTGCTGCGAAAATCAGCGCTCCAACACAACACAGCTGGCTGATTCACGACTTATGGTGGAGCCCGATATGTAAACAACCCGTCTCCGGGTCCGGGCGCGTTGCAGAGCTGAGGCATCCGGGCGGTGAACTTGAGCAAAGCCATCAGTGAGGAGGTCAGCCGTACGCCAACCGGGAGCTTAACGGGCTTAGTCAGGTGTTGGTGCAGCTAAGAGACGGGTTTAGAAGGTTCTTCTTATTGCAGATGCAGACACACTTCTTTTTGAGTGGCCAACACTGGTAATTTGGCAGCCAGATTGTTGCCTTCCCCCTGAAGTTCATAGATGTTCGCATATCGCCAGTATCTTCCTGGGAGATAATTGTGGTCAACATTGGTCAACTATATGAAAAAGGGATGTTGCTAGTTGCTCCCACGTACATGAACTCCAAAAGGAGTCATCCCGCTACAGTCACTACATGTCACTACAGTTGATATGAGTGCGCATATTACAATAGAAAGACCTCCCAGTTTGACCCGCTGGAAGAATGGGAATAGACCAAAACCCATTGGTTGGGGGTCTCCCTATTAGTGTAAAATATACACCCTTATGAATGGTCGGAACTTACCGAAATACTTTGGGTGTTGCTGTCCGGTGCTTTCACCGGTCAGCCACGAAACCATCGAGACCGCGGCTGTGGATTCCTCGCCAATCAACTCACATGGACCCTGACAATCCCCCCCCTTGGAAGGTGGTTTCCTCTACCAGCTAGTAGTTTTGAGGATCTATGTTCGTCAGACAGAGGGTAGTCGTTCCATACATACTGACATACACGTGTCCTTGCTTGCAACCGATCAAGTGGGTTGTTGCATTTGTGAAGCACCTGGTCAACAAAAATAAAACCGTTCGTTAGGTGCAGAATCAGCCTCGCAAGACAGAAACCTCAATTGGAAGCAGACCGACATGAAACCTGAAAAAAGAACATCTTTGTCAAACCGGTGCTACGTCAGGGTTCCAAACTTTGCGCAGCAGCGTCAGGGTGTCAAACCGGGTGGCCCTGTGCAGGACCTCAGCGTCGAGGTCCAGCTGTTGCTGCGGAGGGCGATGAAGGCGTGTTCGTTCATGGAGTCACATGGAGTCGTATGAAGTCGATCTGATCGACTCTTCCGATCTGTCATGAGAACAGCACATCGATGCAAGACAGATCCAATCGATGCAAGACAGATCCAGCTGGCATCACTCCGATCGAAGGAGGGCGTGTTTTGGGGTTTACCGTCCAGCATTGGATTGAAAAAAGACCAGTCCGTTCCGGGGGTACCGGTCCCGGTGGCACAGTGGCACCCCTTTGTTTTTAAAAGGTGTGTACCTTGAGAGGGTCCAAGTATGTAAATATTGAACATGTTACTTTGAAAGAAGAGTTTGGTGGCATGCGGCTCTATCAGCTGCTTTCTGGTGGTGTGCAATCCAACTCACAGCATCCGAAGTCGGTCAGTTCCAGCAGATCATAACCAGTAAGTTACCGGAATCATACAACACAAACATGTGGATGTTTGTTCAGTTGTGAGTGTCGATTTGGCAAAAATTCAGATTTTGCAGTTCAGTACCTCCCCCACCCAAGTGCTTGCCTATGGATCAGACCCCGCCAGAAACAAGGGATCACAGACATGGAGTCTGGCACGACATGAAAACAACGGATGCCGCCCAGATTGGCCCGTTCTGTCGTGTAAAATGACGGATTCGATGAGCCCATGTTCCGCGTTCTGAATGGTCCGTTAATGGCCTCAGGTCTGTGTGTTCAATGACAAACAGAACTCTGAGGTGACTGGGGCTGGTGTGTACAAAAGCTTGTCCGGCCACTTAGTACAATAATAGTAAAGTACAACTTTATATATTCTATGTCGAGTATACGATAAATACCTATATACCAGCAGTTCCATGTCGGGATGCTTATTGCCGGGGTGCCCATGATCCACTGGATGGGATGACATCACCCCAGCGAGGCCGCGAAGATCGACTCTTTGCCCCGCGTGCAACACTTCCTGGCGGGCCCCTGCGCGACGTCCCAATGTTTGGCCGCTCGGACGGGCTGGCAAATGTGCGGTTCACAACGACTAAAAAAGGTGTGCAATATAGCCAGAGCAGGTCACAACATCCTAAGCAAGTAAACCCCGCAGATGGGTTGGTGTCATGTGGTCGGGATCCTGATGGTCCTCAAATCACCTGATGCCGTTCGTTGGGTGCGCTTCGACCGTTCGTTGGCTTGGAAAGATGAAAGACATGACCGGTGGCAGCCAATCATCCACAGTGGCCCTGGCGTATTTGTCAAAGGGCCCTTATAGAACAAGGTGAGCCGAGCTGCTTAGAACGCCGTCGCAACTGGGATCAAGGGCGACCGTGGCTGTTTTGGGCGCTGTTTGATTTGGCGAAACCCGACATATTTGGTCTGAAAACACACAGAGGGTTCTCACGTGCCATCGTTTCGCTTCCACCCTCAGAACATCGGGGGATCATGCAAAGCCTCAGAGTGTGGCAGATAAGAATGCCCACAATTGGCAGAGTATTGGTTTGATTCTCTTGGTAGACATACACCCACCTTCCAACCTTCTGCTAACGTCTTAGAGCGCGCCGATGAGGTGATGCTCCCGTCGAGGGACGGAAACGCGGACGTTCCCGGCTTCAAGGCGGTGGGGCGTCTGGGCAAAGCGCCGTGCTGTTGGGGGTGCATTTGAGGAAGAACTCAAAAAGATTGTTTGAATTGCTCAGATACTGTTGCAATGCAAGTAAAAGAGTTGTTGCAAACATGGTGGTGCAGTTTGTGCGAGGAACCCTTCTGAAAGACTAACTGTTGTCCTTTGTTTTTGTGTAAAGGTAGGCTGCCTGGCTGCTTGGTAGAGTTTTCTTATGAGATTTTGTCTTGGTATATATATATATATAGTATATAGTCATATATACAGGTCTTGGTATGACTCGGTATATGACTCTTGGGCAAGTGCAGCTTGTCCAGTCATTGTCAGTTGCTACCCTTCACCCCAAGCCTAATCCATCCTAATCCTCTCCGAACCACTGTGAGGCTTTCCCTTCTTTGGGCATTGCCCTTGGCCGCGACTTGGCCGCCGCGCTGCGTGCCACCGCGCCGCCGGCCGCGCCGGCTGCGACGGAGCCCAGCGCGCCATCCCCAGCGCCGGAGCCAGAGCCACCGGTGGCCGAGCCGGTGGCGAAGCGGCAGAGGGTGGAGGCAGGAACCAGGGGGGTGGATCGGTGGAACTACCATATGTAGAGCATTTGTACAGGTGGTGTTGGAAGTGTGAGATTGTTTTTCTTTGCTGTGGATCAGTTGGTTGTATATAAGGATTATAATTATAGTAGCTGGTCGATTCCAACGATAGATCCCATGATCCCCACAGCTGGCGAAGATGCTTTGCGTTTAGGTGTACCAAGTGCTTGTGGTGAGCTGTCAGATTTGATCTCAGCTGATTGGCATCCTACGAGACACACCAAACTGTGTTGCAGGAAGTGGCAGAAGACACTGGAATACCTGAAGCGCATGAGCCAGAAGAGGATGTGGCTTCAGTTCCTTCATCGCACCAAATCCGGCAGGTTCAGGGTCTCTCGACTTGGGCATCTTGTGGTCGATGGATAGATCAGACTTATCAGATTCATTCTTCCACGGATTCCACATCATTCCACTCATGCTAACAGACTCACTCTGCACTCATGAAGTGACCAAACTTAACAACAACATGTATAGAATTAGACTTGAAATCTAGAGAAGAACAACCACCACCACCACCACCACAACAACAACAACAGCTATACAATGCTATCACAATGCTATACAGTAATACACACCACAAAAACATCATCCAACAAGACACGCCCCCCAAATCGCCCGGACTCCGGAATTGGTCTCTTCGACTCCTCCCTCCTTGCTCACTCCTCGAGGCCTCCGCCTCGGAGTTCTCGGACTTCTGGGGCCTCACCGCCGACGTGGCGCCCGACCTCCCCGACGACGACGGCTCCGCCTCCGACGGGTCCGCGCTCGAGGGGCCGGACGCGGCGGCGGCTTGGAGCGGGGCATGGTGGGGTGGGCTCGGTGGAGGGTTTGGTTGAAGGGATGAAGGGAGCAAATGGTTGATATGATCAGTTGGATGAGGAAGTTAGAGTGAATTTGTTGATTTGGGTGAGGTGATCAGTGTGATTGCTGCTTGGCTCCACCGAGATGAAAAGGACATACTGTAATCCATCATGATCCCTCCCATGATTCTTAAGCAGCCCTATTGAAAATAGATATGATTTAATGCAAATTGTTTTGAGCCAGTCTAGCTATAGGGGGAACAGATTAGTGGTGCTTGGGACAATTGATCAGAGGACCTCGGCAGAAATTACAATCTCTTGCTGAGCAGAGATCGACTGTCGCAAACCTGGATCTACTCGGAATACCCTGGATATCCCATACCCTTGGTTGAATCAGTATGGTCATTCCCGGGCCCATTTGAACCTTGTGCAGAACATCCGCTGCCCCGACGACTTCTACGTTCTACGCTGGGCGCATTTGTTCAGAAACCCCAGCAAAGTCTCGGGCCCCCACCGAAAAGGAGGAGCCGTTAGAGCCGAAAAAAAACCTGGTTCAGTTCTGATTTGGAAGGCTTAGACGGGCGTCCCGTCGCCACGGTGCCGTCTTAGACGTGCCGTCTATATATAGCTATAGGACTGTGGCCGCTGGTCGTCGGTCCTATCCTGGTCGAACGACGGACATCGCAGTGCTCGACAGAGATCCAAGGAGTCGCGAGTCGCAGGGTGTATATTTGAAAGAAGGAGATACCCTGCATTCAATGGGTAGACGGATCGATTTTCGGAACCGAACCCACATCCGGGGGGGGGTGCCTGGAAGGTCTCCCTGTACTATCCCTAGATGGCGAAAGGCCTTAGGGGTCTATCCTCATCCAGACGAAAGGATCTGAGTGTTTACTTACATGAATGATCTATACATGATGTATCATGACGTCCCTATTTCATATACATGGATGGTCTATAGGCATATTTTCGTTTGGAGGTTGTCGTGGGGTCGTGGGCCCAAGTGTCCGTGGTTTGGGGCAAGCAGCAATGAACTGATCGAGGATATGGTGGTGAGCGTGGCGGCAGAATCCATCTACGACGTGGCCGGGAGCATGCGTTGCTCAACTGAGCATAGCGTCACTGGTGATTAGAGTGTTCAACAAAGTGGAGAGCATAAATATGTTTTGCTGGACTAAATCAGGTAGCCATCCATAACTAGTGCCACAACTATATAGGCCATATACGTTTGACTTTGAAGCTCTCCGTGGTCTGAGACCGCGAGCTATATAGGCCATATATAGATCCATATGAGGTTCCATTACAGCAATCCATTTACAACTGCACTAAGACTTATAGTACATATGAATACATATGACTCTCATGTCCATCCTTTCCTCGCTCCGCTCCGCTCTCGCGACGCGGCGAAGAGGCATCGAAGGCACCGAAGGCGCAGAGCCAACGCTGCGGATCTTCTGGGGCGAGGCGCGGTGGCAGCGCACGCAGCTGCTGGGAGAACTGGCACGAGACTTGGTGAAGGGTGAGGGTGATCCATGAGATGCTCCTTTGTGAAGATGGAATCTTATCCTATGTGTTTTATACGTGTGTTGTGGTGTTCTAATGCTCTTTGGGAAAAGGTGTGGTTGCCATAGGAGATCTGAGACTACTGAGTGCGCAATACGCCACTCCTTTTGCCAACTGTGATATTCAGAAGTTGATTTTTTAGAGCCGGAATCAAACTTGTCAGATTCAATTGTTTGTTAGTTAGTGCAGATTGCAAAATGAGATCTGCTTTTTTAGGCCTAAGCTCCCGTTATCTTGGGGGAATGAGGATCCATCCACTTGGCAAGTGATAGCTGGTGCGATGGTCATGTGAGAATCAAGCAGCTCAATTACCAGCTAGAGGCAGCAGGGGTGCCAGCGTGCCAGCTTGGGTGCCAGTGGCTCGCCCATGACAGCCTAGTCAGACATGAAAGTTCTTGTTACCAGTCATGCGAAGCTGCAAGACCATGGAAGACCTGAACCCTTCTGGTTTGAGGTCTCCTTTACAAGTGGGTTCTGAGGGGTCATGCACGTTCATTGGTTGTTCGCGCAGTTCTTTGAAACCAGATCTGGCAAGTGCAGGATGTCTCCAAACATGACCAACGGCCAACCATGTTATCACTACCCTGAGAAGATTTGAACAACCCCACATCAACCCACAGCAATAGGTCTTCTTTCGGTGGCTCCGCCTAGACCAAGCGCCAACTTTCGATGACGTCATGACGTCGGCTCCTTTCCCTGTTTCCATGGAGCCAGGGCCGATGGGACTCCTTGAACTCCCAGTGGCCCGTTTTCACTTCGTTCTAAGGAGGGGATTGGGGCCTTTGCCAGGCCGCCCCGGCAGATTTGCAGCGAAGCGCCAGGCGAGGAAGGGTCATGCAGCGAGAGATGATGGAAACTCCGAAGGATTAGAGTTTCTTGGATTTTGAGAATGCTGATGAGAGAAATCTGGGCCTTTAGCTGTCGAATGTGAAAGTGATATACAGGTCTGGTGGCCTTCCTCCGGGTGGGTTCTTTGTTTTTGGTGTCATGGCCTTGTCAGACAAGGCCATGACACCAAGTGTGAGTGAAGAAAGACCCGAAGAGACGACCCTCTCCATGCCACCAATGGAGACGACCCTGAAGAGACGACCGTCCAACTCGACCCTGTCGAGTTGGACCACGAGATGATTCAGGCCCAACCTCGCCTTACACCCATCGACTCTTAAGACTTAAGCAAGACATAAATATAAGCATATATATATAATATATTATATATGATATATATATATAATAGACTATATATATACATATACATATATGTATATATACATTTCATATATATATATACATATTCCATACATGGGTGTGTATTTGAATAGGGAGACCCTCTAAATTCGACCTTGTGGAAGAAGGATGCTTGGGGGGGTTGTGGGGGTTCCCTATTAAACACATACAACCACATGGAGTGTTGAGATATGTTTTTCATTCACCTGGGGGCCCTGAGCATCGCCCATGAGGAGCCTTTGGCGCCAGCTCCTCGATGATGAGCGGCCGGTCTACGCACCGCGCAGCGAGATGACACGGTCAGAGTGCCACATCGTTTCAGATGGAGGAGACTAGAATCTAGAGCTGAAAAGACATGAACAAATAGACCATCATGGTGCAATTCTGCACCAACCAAGCAAGGGTCTACCTTAGATGTCTACCCTTTCAATCCTTTCTCAGCGCAGCGCAGCGCGCGCAGCGCAGCGCGTCGCAGAATCGCACGGCTGCCTGCCGGTGCATCGAAAAAAAGCGCTCCATCGCGCGGAAAAAGAGCAGAGGAGGCAAGTGAATCCCCCTTGATTTCAGGCAAAAACCGCTTTTTGGTTAGATAACATTTGATAACCAGGTAATTTTTGTTCTAGAAACTCGAACCGTAGACTGAACAAAATCCTGGTTCCCTTCTTTTGTGGTCACTGGCCGGGTTCAACTATGTTCCACTTGGGGAGACATGCTAGGTTCCCCTAAGCATCACATCCCGTGGCAGAATGAAACCACGGAAGGGATCCACACCACTGTGTTCTTTTAAACTTGGCTTTGCTCATACAAGGTGATCTGTATTGATCTTTGTGTTTTTCCCCTTTCCTTTAGCGAAATATGTTCTTTTTTCAGTTATTGCAAGTTCTTTGTCAAGCTATACATTGCTGCTACGAGTCCCCGGCTTGTGGCGATGGTGAAGGATCCCTAGAGCTTGTGGCAATTCCGTTTCCCAGACGATCCATTCACCACCAAAAACTGCCAACATGTAGGCCATACTTGCTTATATAGATCATCCGGGTGTTGGTGCTTGATCAATGTCTTCTTCTCTTCGACTTGCAGAAAAAATCCAGAGAAGACCTGTCCACCGGAGAAGAAAAAAAGGACCGTCCAACGCTGCCAGGTGAGTTTCTCTACGCCCATGGACGAGGTGGTGAATCAAACCCGAAGCTGGTGGCGCCACTCGACTGCGGATCGTCTCGTCACCATCCGGATCCATCAGAACCTGGGCGAAAGAAGAGAAGCCTCAGTTCGCCACTGGTGAAGCTTCCTGGGGCACCGGTGTAGCTGGAACTTTGAAGTGGAGAGCTTCAGAAGGGCTTCTTGTGACCTGTGTTGAAAGGCTTCAATGACGGACTGTTGCTTCTCTGCCCTAAAGGATGGGGATGTGGTACACCAACAAAACTTTAAAGAAACGTTCCGCACCCAGAAGAAAAGCAGCGAGTTTAATTTGTATTACTGCATATCACTTACTGTCGATGATCTAGTAGATGTGCCAGAAGCTGAAGGTCAGAATGCAAAGCTGAAGGTCTTTGGAACGGATTCCATGCAGATTGAACCATCACTCCCCAACGCCCTGGGTGAGGATTTTCGCCCAAAAGACCATAGACCATGCCGGACCGGCAGCATGAGAAGGAGATCCAAGGTGAAAGAAGCAGATCCAAGTATTGCTTGTGTTGGACCAAGGGAGACTCTGAAGAAGACATCGGATGTTCTTGAAGGCTATCAACAGGCCGATCATTCTCTTTGAGGTGATTCTCTCAAATTGTAGGTGCCCCATAAAAGGTTCCTTCTTTCCAGTACTAGTAACCGGTACGGTATGTTTGGAGGTCCCTGCGATATCACAACGGCCGGAGCTCAATAAGCATAAATTTTTGAGCCTGGTTGTGTTCAGCTCACAGGTGAAGCAACAGAGAGTTCTTCTCAAGAGGTGGGCGGCAAGGGTTTGTTGTGTTGTTTCGCTTCATAGGCCTGCTATGTCGGTCATTTCACAGCGCCCTACTTTGGAAAGGGAACCTTGACAAGTCCAATCTTAAATCCGCAATTTGTCATTTGTATTGATTTACTGAGATCGTTGGACTGAGTTCAAGTTGGCACTGTGTCACAGGATTTACTTCAAGTCAGAAGCACATCATAAGGAGTAGCTGAGTAGACACACATCATGAATGTGTTGCTTACTTCATGTCCTAATTGTCCCTTAGCTTAGTACTGTAGAGTTGAGCTCCTGGTCCTTCAGAGTTAGAGAAGTCACCGATTTAATTTTTTGCTTGTCCCTGAGCTTGGTCTATTAGCATGTTCACCACTTTGGAACGATGCTGATTTGTGAAATAATATATAAAGAAGTAAGGTAAACAGTCGTTGGCTAGCTAAGTGACAGCAGTTCAAACTTTCCTTGCCCAGGGCCTGGGAGCTACTGTATATGTTTAGTATTGTCTACTTAGTTACTTGTTCATACTTGTTCAATGTTTTCGTGTGGTGCCTTTTGAGTCCAGTTAGTTACGTTTGGCCCGTTCACCTACAGGGTCCACAGAACCCATCTCCCCATCACCAAGTGTATCCTTACGTAGTCTGACAGTCGCTGTTTTAGACCACTCTTGCTTCACGGGTCATGTTACTTGTTATTCCCAGAGGATCTCGGAACCACTGGTTACCCCCTGGTTTGCCTCAAGCCAGTGCGTGTTGTCTGTCTTGGCCGAAGATTTGCAGGGTCGCTCGCGACACGGAGAGCCATGCCATGGTGGGGCCCGGTGGCGGTCGAACTGCCAGTCACTGAAAGGTCTCGTGGCTCTGATGAATCATACGCGACCGGCGGAAGCAGATACTTACTTGCAGAGTGGAGTGTGTTTTTTTGATTTGTTGATCAAAGTTGGATGATGAGCGATTGGTTGTTTGAGAGTTCCAGTATCATGGCCAAGTGAGGAGGCGTGAGCGATGTGAGCATAGATGAGAGCGATCGGCCGGCCAAGGCTGCCAAGTTGACCGAACCTTCGGAAGATATTTTTGGAAGTGTTTAAGATGCTTTAAGAATCAAGTGAGATGGGATTTATGTTCAATGACATCAAAGCAAAGTTCATAGATACAATAATAGTCCAATTAATCATGGTCATGGAAGTAGAAAACTACCCCTGGATCACTATGTTCCTTTACAAACAAAGTGGTTTTCCACTTCCATGAGTCTTCCAGGCAGTGGAGTCAACAGTCGTCAACCATGGCCTGTCTGGGACCACTGGACCTGTGATCTCCACCGGAGACCCACCGAGTTGGTTCACTTTCAAGAATAAGTAGACCGTCTATACTACTGCCAGAGCAAAGTAGTATGGTCAGACTGTATAGTAGTAGGCTTTACAGTAGTGTGACAGTATGACCATACTTTGCTAGAACCACTCTCATGCCGCAAGCGGAACTCTTTTGCTTATTCTTATTGTAGGACTGTTCTGCTTGGAGACTCCAGGGTCGGTTTCTTTTGTGGTGTCGTGGAATCTCCAAGGAATCTCCAGCGATACTTCCACAGATCATCCTTGAGGTTCCTGGTTGTAATGTGACTGAATCTGATAAGATTCAAGGCACATACAGACCTGTCAGCACCTGTCATCACGACAAGCCAGTCTACAAGAAGCTTGGGCCTGACACCACGAACTCCTATATTTACTTCTCTAAGCGAGGGGGTGGAGCATGCTGCTGGTGGTTCGGCCCAGAGGTTGGAGGAGACGAAGTGTGGGCCTTCAACGCAGGCTGCGACATGGATAACCCATTAGTGCCCCCAGCTGTTGGTTGGAGGGCTACCCACGATGGTTCAGTGGACGACAGATTGCAGATAATGACTATTGGAGGAGGTCATTCTAGAATTTCATCCAGTTCAAACTGTGAAGAGACATGCCAAACTCTTCAGCAAGCTCTTTCAGTCGAACGAAAAGAGCGAGAACGTCTCGAACTTGCTTTGCAAGAGGAGGTACGAAAAGTGGCTGCTGCAAAGGTGACAAAGAGGCCCCTGTTTGTGGTATCAAATTGACGGTTGTTTTGTTCCTCGACAGGCTCGAAAGATATCCCAAAATACTCACCTTTAGCAATTGCTCATTTTTGTGGTTTACTGTAGCCACATCCAATCGAAGGTTCTGGAAAGATAGACGCAAAGCTGAAAGAGAAAGGCGGGACCTTGTTGAAGATGCTTTAGCCCAAGCACAAGAGACGCTTCGGGACTTTGAGAATCTGCTTGCTGCTGAGCGAGAGAAGGTCCAGGTTGCTGAGAAGAAGATAGAGGAGATGCAGGATCAATATTCAGCACGCTTGGAGGGACAAAAGCAGATCTCCAGAATGGATGGGAATAGGGGTGCATGTTGGCAGTATGAGGAGCGTGGAGGCTGGCATGCGGTGACACCTGAGGGAAATGATCAGATGCATCAGGCTTATTTGTCCTACCTTCGTGATCCAACCTGTCACAATCGCTTCGCGACGATCAGTGTTGCTGGAGTAGATCGGCAGGTTGACTATGAGTTAATGACGCAAAAGCGTTGTGGTACGAACAAAGTTCGCCGGATTCGTATTTTGCCAGGAGTGCCCAAGCAGTGGCTCACCACGGCTGCTTGCTTGTTGCAACAGACTGATCAGTTGCAGTCCTTCTATGTTAACATCACTGATGATTCGTACATTCACGACAAAGTACGTGAAGTTCTGCAGTTCACTGGACATGGGCAGGATGGCTCACAACAATGCTCTTGTATGAAGACAGCAACGGTCAAATCAGTGCACCGCATTGAGAACTGGAAACTTTGGCAAGCCTACAAGCTAAGACGCCAAATCTTGCGGATGGGGCACTCAAGTCAAGGGGTTTGGGTCACACCTGTGCCTTTGGACCTTGATGCGTTTGATGCTGGATGTGGCGTAAGCACGATAATGACAAACAACCAAGGTGTGTTTGACTGTGGCGAGACTTTGGCTCTAGATATAGATGAGAAGATTCTGTTGCATGGCACCAGTTGGGACTGCGTTAATTCCATTGTTTGCAGTGGCTTTGATCATCGGACGTGCCACCGTGGTATGTACGGTGATGGGGTCTACTTTGCATCAGCTGCATGCAAGTCCCATCAGTACACGTGCAAGGATCATAAATATGCCTGCGACTGCAAGTGCGAAAGGGCGTTGATTATTGCCCGTGTGGCACTTGGTGATGCATACTATGCAAAGGAAACAAGATACAAGGAACGGAGGCCGCCAGTGAGAAATAGCAAATGCGGAGTGACATACGATTCCATTGTTGTCAATCCTGGTCCTATCAACGGCCACCACAATGCAGCCCAGGTTCATCAGGAGTTTGTGATTTGCCAGATGGAACAGGCATATCCTTGCTATGTGGTCAAGTATCAAGTGTGATTTGCTTAGCGTCGTAGAGCCACCAGTGCCACCGGGGTCAACCGAGCTTCCGTGCCACCCGGCTGGCCCAAAACACCTTGCGTGCTGGCAGCCAAAAGCAGCTGCTCGTTCTAGCCTGCTAGCTTGCTGCAAGCAACGTCCCATCTTTGTGGAAGGGACTGGGTTCTCAATCATGAGCGGATCCGAAATCCATGTTGTTATGCTGTTATACATAGAAGAGCATATACTCAAAGCTGCATTGGTTGGGATCCACGGCATTCTTGCGAGAGCAGTAGTTCAGGCAACTTTCAAAACTACCCCTGTTGTTTTCCGAACATGAGCAGTCAGAATTCTTACTCAGTAGGACCATCAGCAAAGTTTGGAATGATGTCATTCCCTGCGCGTAACCTGGACAGCAAACTGGTCATGTTTAGCCATGTGTGCGTGATGATTTTAAGACGTTTTAAGGTGGCCTTTGTTGATGTCAAATATCTCAGTTCGGCCTGGAACACTTGAGTTTGAGCAGTGTGTCGGCTGACAAGTGCACAGGACCAGCTCCTTCAAGTTCGCATCACTAACATCGTTTACTGGAACATCATCATTTGTTGGAGACCATGCGATGTTTATCCATGTTCCCGAATCCCTAGCATTCTCCTTGGAAATCGCGGGCATTCAACGAACTGGCTCTTTGGGAGTGTCGCTTTGACGCGGAAGGAACGTGCCGTGCCTTGCTTCCAGGCAACTGTGGTGCTGCCAAAGATGTGGTCACCGCGTTCGGGTCGCCGAGAGATGCCGAGATCAAACCGTCACCGCGTGTGGTCTGTGAATGGTGACGGTGGCAGTTTCTCACTGCCGGCTCCAAGCGCACTGGTAAAGAAGGTGGGACTGGATGGGTCCATGGAGGGTCCAGTCGTACCTTTTCACCAGTCCCACGAAGGTGTAGAGAATATGATCCGATGAATCGGTCTGTCATCCCGGTGGGTTGCTTCTTCTCACTGTTGGTTGCGTTTCCTCCGCCACCCAACAGGGCACCCCCCTCAATGTGGACGTGTGTTTCCGGTGTTTCGGGCTTTTGTGTGTGTGTGTGTGGCGCAATAGTTTTCATATGTTTTGATCCAGATCCAGCTGTTGCACTGGGCCCACGAAGTGAGCTGGCTAGCTTTGACATGGTGGTCAAGGAACTGATGTTTCAGGCCAGCTTTGAATGCATCGCAGTTACATCACGCATCCCAACTGAAGCTGACTCAGGATCGTACTGGGTGCGTCAAGCTGCATCAGGTGCCTACTGTAGTTTAAACTGTTGGATTTAAAGCTCCTAGTAGCTTCTTGTTCCTAGTAGCGATGCCAGGAGCCCCTAGTAGCTTCTTGTTCCTAGTGGCCCAATCCCGCAGATATCAAATATTGTAGACACGTGACACATGCGTGCTTATTGACCTGTGATTTGGTCTCACACGGCTCCCCCGAGTCTTTGGAGGAGAAGGTCGGAACCGTTCGGAGCTGGGACTGCCAGGGACGAAGGTCGGCCTGTTCTGGGGGGGTTAGCCGATTGACCTCTCCACTTTGCTGGTCTGTCCAAGCCCAAAAAAGCCTGGATGGACCTCTGCTGGACTTGTCTTATTCCAGACAGGAATATCACTTGTGACCTGGGACTCCTTGGCTTTTTTCAGACATAGGGCAAAATCAGGGTTTGGACTCTAGGGAAAGAGATGGAGCGGTCATGAGGCTGTCCAGAGACCCTAAATATTATGGAATACAACTCTTTTGAGCTGCGTTTGCGGATGTTTCCCTTTTATACCATTGCGCGAGACTTGTAAATCTTATGGGTTCCTATCAATCATCTCTTGTCACTCTTGTCCGTGCCCAGCATGGATTTCTTTTGGGCCAACGAACTACTCCTCCGACCCGAGGTGTAAATCTTGGGAACGCAGGGTGTGGCAGCTCAGTTGGGTGGAGACTGAACCGGATGACTCTATACAGAAGGTGAGATGAATAACAAAAAGACCACCGACCTTGTCATTGATAGACTGCCCTCAGGAAAAAACACAACAACAACAACAACAACAACAACAACAACAATGCACCTGTGGGTTTTATCACACTTTGAGCCGAGCCTGAGGGAAAAGGTCGTGGCCAATAGAAATACTGTGGTCACATCCTCTCAATGGTCAACGTTTCCTTTTGATGGGTTACATCGACCTGGTACGTCCCAAGTTCCGCGTTCGTTCCGCCTCAACGAGGCTCACCGAAAAGGAGGAGGTCACACACTTCGTCTTCGGCTTGGCTCGGGCAGCCCAGCCGTCAGACCGGATCTTGCCAGGAGCTTCAAAGTGAACGTCTGAACAGATCCCCAAATTCAAGGGGGGGGGCGCTCAGTCCAAAGACGTCACTATCTCAATCTGCTGTACGTTGGGTTTGCTTCTGTCTTCTTCCCAAGAATTCTTTGGAGAACAGAGTTGAAATGTTGAAGGACATGTTAGACATGTGAGGTGGATCCCGCCATGAACACAGCACTCGCACGTTCCCCACCGGAAGTGATAGACAGATGCCGTGCGTATGGTTCACTTGAAAAGGGTCCAAAATGGTCAATAGATGTCCATCATTGATATGTTGCCATAGTTCCACTGTAGTCACTGCAGTACGATATGCTTGCAGGCAATATACTTCAGCCCTAAAGATATGCATACACTTGAGACTAGTTTGATCAACATATAGTAGCATGTTTGTTATGTCACAGGACCTTTGTTGCTGGGAATGCAGATGTGCCTGTTGAGGGGTTGACAGCCTTGCATATAGTCCCAAAGGTGATTTGTGTAGAGAAAGAAAGGGAAGCCTTTGCGATCGGATGACTGGTGAAACGAAAAGGAGTTCAGAAGCCATAAATAATATATATATATATCATTATTATTGTTACTATTATTAGTATTATTTGTCTTAATTACTATTATTGATACGTTTTATGTTTATAGTGGTTTGGACATTGGACATATTTTTCCCGGCCCCCCCATCATCCCTGCTTCCTAATTTGGTATGCTTCGTTTCTTGTTTGTCAGTCGTTTGGACCCCCCGCCGTTCTCGTTCCCTGACCAACCCAACCGCCAAGGCCTCAGAAGCCTCCAGGTGCGCGGAAGATGCGATGGGCTTGGTCTCCTGCGTCCGAAGACTCAGATCGCCCGGTGTATTAATTATTACTGTATGTATCATATGCTTAACACTCAGATCTGCCCGATGTATACATAATTATATATACATATGCTGGATGGATGGGGTCAGCAATGGTTCACGTGGACAGGTTTAGAGAGAATTTGTGGCGAAATGCGGGTCCAGAAGATGTGGGTTCTTTTGGTTGGGGTCAATTTCATGTTGTAAGCGCCCAGTGCATTGTTGGGTCAGAAGGATTTCTTCCACTACAGCGAGTTCCTTGGTTTTTCCATTTTTGGTAACAAGATGCAACATGAAACGAGGTCAATGTAAGTCTGGCAGGGCTTTGTTTCAGTACTCCTATCTTGTACCTGAGGATTTGTCATGCCCGGCAAAGCCCAGTGTCATATGCTTTCTAGGCCGTTCTCAAGTGGTAGGAACCACGTGGAAGGTGTGTCTTTTCCGGTCTTCCACACCTCATCCAAACCATTTGGTCGCTGAGGCCCGTGACCGATGGGGTAGTTTGCGCAACAGCAACCACTCGAAGGTGGAGGCACACGGGGGGGCCGCTGGACCGCCGTCCCGTGCGGGTCGTTCCGTGCATGGCGGGCGGTGGTGTTCGGGGCGGATGACAGTGCCAAAGAAGCAGCTCCAGAAGAACCCAATATATAATTGTATAATATATATATATATACAGCTATATGTATAATAAATATGTTATAATGTATAATTCGAAAAATATAGAAACCAATGCAAGGAACATCTATATGACACCTCCAAGACCCCTGTCAGGGCATCTGTCTGGAGGCGCAAACATTCATGCCCTGCTCCGAGGAGAATGCGACGCTCCAGCTGAAAGTGGAGCTGGAGAAGTCGGTGAACGTCCAAGGTGCGCGATGCCGATGCGGTGTTCAACTGGCCGTGAGGGCGATGTTCAAAGGGGAAGGGATGTATAATGTAATAACACGTGGTGTTTGTTACTGTTTACCTAATTTTGCTTTGTCCGAAAATGTGATGAAATTAAGACCTATCAGTGCAAAGTACGTCTTTTGCGGATGGTTTTGCGTAGACTGTAGGCGGTGGCCATTTGTCACACGAAGAAAGGCAAACAGGGATGTGGTTCACAAAGACTCTCAAACATCACGGCTCCGCTTCGCTTGTATGAAACGATATGAAAGGCGGCCAGCGCCGGGTTCTTGGAAAAGCTGTCATATTGTCTTATCTTGTTCAAGCTAATTAATACATGTTGCCCTATCCACTGGACCGTCCGATTCCCGTTGGCGTGCGGTCCGCAGGAGTCACGGGGGAGTCCACCACCTACACCACGGCGATGGGTCCGGGGGGCCCAGGGGGCGCCCCCAGCTGATTTCAGTGCCTAGAGCTGACTAGACGGTGGCCTTCTTTTGATTTCAGTGCCTAGAGGCCTAGAGCAGCTGACCTTTGATATGTTGATCAGAATGGACATGAAAGGACCACGTAAACTGGCTGCAAAAGCGGAGTCACTCAGGTTCCAGGCGTGTTATTTTTAAAACGTTTGCAATGGAGAGTTGTTCTGTGGTTACTGCTGTCTTGCTGGAACATTTCATGTGCAAAAGACCTGAAAAGACCTTTTGTGCAGTGTGTCCCATAGCCAGGCGGTGTATACAAGATTGCTGTATCACGATTCCTGGATCCAAACCTTTGCCAATCATCATCCATTCTTACGGGTAATGGGATATACTAGTACCATATTAAGATAGGGAGACCCCACCGCCCCAAAGGGGCTTTGGGTTTAGTATTCCTGGCTTGGCGACCGGATATAGAAAAGGTGTTTTCGGCTTTATCCAGATACTGTATGAGATATGAGCACCGCCAAAACGTGCAATGACTAATTTAGTAAAGAGCGATCGTGAATTTCAGGAATTGGGCTACTGTAAAACGCACAAAAGCGATAGGCCCCACTCAAAAAGCGATAACCTGTTTCCTCAGGTTTTTGGATATGTTCAGCGATGTTGACATTGTGGCTAATTGACTATAACCTGCAAAAGCGATCAGCCCCCCTCAAAAGCGTAAAACCTTGCTGCTCAACAGTACTTTTTGGCAGACGCTCATGTATATATATATATATATATATATATATGGTTGTTTGATTGTTTGTTTGTTTGTTTGTTTGTTTGTTTCGATACCCAAACGCCTTGTGATCATCAGTGACTGCCTTGGCCATCACTCACACCAGCGCCCCGGGGACGCTCCCCTTAGGTCTCTATGTGGCTGTCAGGGGCTCATCCCGCAGTGGGTTGGCTCTGAGGAATGGGCGAATGAACCGCTTGTGCTAAGAAATGGCAGAAGGAACTTAATGGTACACATGCTTTTGAAGAGGGATCCTGTTCAAAGCCACTTGTGCCTGAGGTTTCCAATTTACATCAGGACCTTTCAGACGGTCTTTCTAGTTGGAGGATTTTAGTGAAGGGCATAGCATGGTTCTTCTCGTATCAGTCAGAGTCAGGGTGAACACATGCAAGTTGGAATAGGGTGTGCTCGGAAGATGTGAAACATCACTACATAGTTCTTGCCTTCACTGCATGCCATGTTGACTGCTTGCCAGGACAGAAGTATTGAAGACACATGGTGAACCTCCTTCAGTTTGGTATTAAGCTCTTCCTACCATTGAGGGGGCCAGTAGGACCCTTCACATGTCAAACCCCAGACCGTCTTTGTTTCGGTTTGGGTGCATGGGCCGGTGGCCCACGGCGGTGCGGATGACACAGGTGGTTTGGCTGGTGGGGAAGTACCTTCGGGCTGCTTTCCAGGCGCCAAACATGCGACGTCTGCGCACACGGTACACGTCGACGTCTGCGTGGCGTCGGCCAGGATCAATTACAAGGAAAAAGCATGTGCTGCTTCGTTCACCCCGGTGTGGCTTAGCCTCAGAAGGTCGAGTGACACAAGGAGTTGTGGGAGGTAGTGCAATGATAGACCACTCCATGCTTTGTTTTTGGTCGACAAAAGCACCTTTCTTGAGCAGAACATGGGCCACCCGTATCTAATTCTTCAATAAAGCCGGTGTCATGAAGAAAGATTGTTTAGGCAATGTTTCTCCTCACATCTTCTTCGCTTTCCGACAACAAGTGTTTTTTTTTCGATGTTTTTTGATGACCTCAATGCATGACATCCATGCGCACTCGCCTTTAGAAGCACAGACCATTAGGGTAGTGAGTGTGCTTATGGTGTGTGTATAGAACTGCCAGGGTTCAGTCCGGGCATCAACAACCAATTTGGCGTCATGTTGAACCAGAGAAAGTCACGGTGAATCGGTGCCATCTGACAGGTGGCTGTTGGATGGATGGCATATGTTCTTCAAGTTCTGGTGTCGGTGGTCCACCAACAGGTGGCTGACGGTGGTCTGTTCGATGTTGGATGTTGGATCAAGTTCTGGTGGACCCCTGTGGATCGAAGAAACAATTCAAAAGAATCCTCGGTAGCATGGCCCATAGGGTGGATGATAGTCCAGGCACCCCACTGTTAGTCGCTTTGGACCCCTCCAACGGTTGGGATGTTGGAGAGCCCAACCGTTGGCCGTTTGGCGCGCCCCAGCAATTTGCCAAGCGCCAGGGAGCTGCCAAACAAGCCATCTATGATGAGATTCCCGATGTGCACGTCTTCCTGGATTTGATTGAGGCCAGGTTTCGGATGGGTTCGCAATGGTGTGAAGGCGAGTTGTCAAGCTGACGCCTGTATATTCACCCGGGTGTGCAGGGTTCAAAAGGTTCTAAAGAATACGAAGACAAATGACCCTTCCTTCAAAAGAGTTCCGGGAAACTGGAAAAATAGACGCTGCACAGGCTTACGAGGTTGTTTGTGTGCTGGTGTGGCATGATGAAGAGCTTTGTTTAAAGTTATAGTTGACCCTGGCGAGTGGCCATGGCAACCATGGCACTGTACTAGTATGGAATCATGCCAGTCTGACGGGTATTTGGATTGTGTTTCTGGTGATTCTTCCAGGCATTCCATGGCACGTTCATGGGACGTCCATCAGTGGAAGAAACACCAGAAACACCGACTCGCCCAGCACCTCCAGCAGGGTCAAGTCGACCGCCTCTTGCTCGTCGCCCCATCGGCGAGGCCATCAAGATGGCTCGAGAGCACGGGGATTTGCGTGTGGAGTTTGAGCTCTACTATTGCCTCATGCAGGTGTGGGTGAAAAAAGAACATGGAAACACACGGGATGCGTGCTCCTTATAGGCACTCCGAAACAATCCGGGTTGAGCAAACTGCTATTTGTTAGGTTTTTGATATACAGAACGGCGGGCAGCCTTTGGGTTCTTTAAAGAAATCATGCATGAGGTCTTGCTGCTCTGCCTTTGTTTCGACAATAAATAGACAGATCAATCATGCAAAGGATCCCCGACCCCTCTCCATAGCTGTTTTCGCTGTTCTTTGATGTTTGGTTTGAAGCGGCCATGGATGACATGGTTCAAAGAACACATTCCTTGAACTCCCGGGTTCTAAGTCCTGTGAATGTGTTTCACCGGGGTCTGTTCGTTTCATCCACATCCCGCAAGCATCCGGGGCGCTCCACAAAACCACCCTAGAGTACTAGAGACTCAACACATTGGATATCAGGATCCTTCTTTGGGGCTGGAGTTGGATATTGTAGTAGGTTGGAGGCCATCGCTCTTGGGTTGGAGGCCATTGCTATTTCTGCCGTAGGTTGGAGGCCATCGCCATTAGGTTGGAGGCCATCGCTATTCGGTTTGAGGCCATCGCTCTTAGGTTGGAGGCCATCGCTCTTAAGTTTCCGGCCAGTGCTATTAGGTTGGATTGAGAGAAGATGGCACGATCTCCAAAATGGTTGTTTATATGGGTCCCCATCTCAAAGACATCTTGGGGTTCATGAAATCTACTCTGACACAATTGCATTCTTAACTTGTGAGAGGGTGATTTCCCGAAAATCTCTTTGTAGACGAGTGTGAATGGCACAGTATGCATGGCCCTCGTTTTCCAGGCAAGCTGTCCTGCGCCAACAAAGGTGCTCGTAGAGGTGTGGCGAGAATCGTGTCACTACATTATATACATGATATTTCCCTTCATCTCCTGGAATGTCCTCATGGTTAGGTGGCATGGCCCCGTAAGGAAGACCATGAACTCCTCATACCAAACCCTTTTTTTGTTCCACTTCCAATGTTAGTTTCAGGGAGAGTCATTCTCATCGCAGCCCATCGAACTCCCAAATCCTCCCGATCGCCCTAAAAGCCGCCCGACCGAGCTCGGGGTACCGCGACCACCGCGGCCACCAGGTCTTGAGGTCGACACATATCTTGCTGCGCATCGGAGGCCTGGGCCCTCGAGGGGGCAGGTGGAGATGTGTTCGTTCCGGGGTGAAGACAGGTGAAAGACAAGCTGGACATATAGAGGCCTATCATTGACCCCTGAAAGCACCCCAATGTAGGCAGTTAAAGATGTTATACATGGAGTGGTTGGGCAAATATGAGATGACACATGCATATAGTTATATATAGTTATACTGTATATGATACAGACTCTATGTATACGTGAATTGTCACACTTAGGTGTTTTGGTTGTAGAGGTTCTTGTTCCACCTCTTTTGTTCTTCATGGGTGAGGTATTTTCTTTGGCTTGGGGTGCAGTAGATGCAACTTCTTGAACAACAATTCCTGGAGCTCCTCGATGTATGAGTGAAGCTCGAGGCTCTCTCTCTCTCTCTCCCTCCCTCCCTCTCTCTTTTTTTTTTCTCTCTCTCTCTCTCTCTCTTTGTCTCTCTCCCCCTCTCTCTTGCCTGACCGGTCAGGGTCACAAGCGGAAGCAGCCGTGGCTCCAGCAGAAGCAGAAGCGACCTCCTTCAGTGGGATTCTTTCGGGTGGGGTCGCTGCAGCAGAAGAAGACCAGAGACGAAGTGCAGCGAGAATCTCATGGGCAACGACGGCCGCATTGGGATGACCGGTGGAAAACACCGACCTATTGATGAGGCGAGGCTAACCACAACGTCGCATTAGATTGGGATCCAACAGATGCTGCAAGAGATGATCGAAAGAGGGGCTGCAAGACATCGAGGCGTCGTTTCATCTCATCGAGGCGTTCGTAAACAATTCAGAGAAAGGCACCGGGATTTGGGCTTCGGCGACGAATTTCACTCACTCAGAGCAGGCGTTGATGTTGATGTTGATTCTTCCGATGGGTGAGCCACTTCCTGTGCGCGAAGGCTGTGCACCCTGGGTCCAGTCCCTAAAACACTAAACTGGAGTGAGGTGAGACGACATTCGCTCATCATCACGACGATCAGCTTGGTACGAAATGAAATGAATCCTTCTGGTACAGTTGTAGCAGATTGTGTTAGTTTTGCTCTTCCAGATTTTGCAAAATCAGCTGACAGCTGGATACCTTGAGATTGTAGCCCTGCCTTTTGACCTTGTGCTGTACCCAGCTCGGTTTTACCAGAATCATCAGATTTCAGAACCCAAACGTCCAGTTAAGAGCCCCCAACGTCGCCCCTCATTCTGTCCACCATGGGAGTGATGTCCATCCTGGATTTTGAAACTAATAGCTTCTTGTTACTACTAGTAAGGCCAGGAGCCCCTAGTAGCTTCTTGCTCCTAGTAGCGTGGCACTTGTTTCTAGTAGCTTCTTGTTACTACTAGTAAGGCACCTGTTACTAGTAGCGTGGCACTTGTTCCTAATAGCTTCTTGTTCCTGGTGTGGACATCCATATGACTTGATTTTGGAGGGATTTGCGATGGTGTCTATATACAAAATGCGAGGCACGGATGTGCGATAGAGTACCTACGCGTATATTAACTTGCCTAATGACACTATATATATATAGTATAGATGTGTTTGTTTTATATTTGTTTCAGTTTCTTTACCTGAGTCAACCACCTGCAAGTCTTGTGTAAATCTACTCGGGTTTGCAAAACAGCTAAGATGCCTGATAATGGCAAATTGCTTGCCTCTACAAACAGATGGTGGTAGGTGCCACCAGTGCCTGCCTTCGGAGCAAACCTCTCCTTTTTGCAGCTTTGCTAGCCTTCTCGAAAGAAGTCCAGCACCACCTTGGAAACTGGATCCTTCCATGTCTCCATGGGGCTACCCCCCGGTTTTAGATGGTTTTAGTATTTTTTGAGTAGGGATCAGACTGGGAAAGGTGAGCGCTTGATGCACGACCTCCCAATTAGTAGTTCGACTGACTGCAAGGCTAGTCACAAGCGAAAGAACAAAAAGTAGGGATCAGAAGAGGTCAACAGCTGACCATCAATGCCTGTGCTGCTTCACGCCCAACCACACTGCCACCTCCTGTGCGTCCACCAACGCTGCCAGGCCACGAGCCGCGGAACTATGGCATCGGGCGGACCGATCGCCGTCCGCCGCAGGCGGTCCGGACGCCCCGGTGGCGGAGTTTGGGCTGGTGCCCAGGGTGGCCGCTGAGGAAGAAAAGTGCCATCAAAACACCCATTCAGGACTTGGGAGTCTAATGCCCTTTACTAGTTAGACAACGTGGGTCGTGGCGCATATAGTCACATGTAATGATACGTAATTATACATATATATATATATATTATATATATATATTATAGAGACGTATACATATTCAGAATGATACGAGCAACATTGATTCCAAGCAAGTCACTTGAGAGAACAGTGGAGCTACCCAATTGGCAGATGCAAGCTTATGATTGCCTTGTGGCTTGCTGCAAAGACAGAATGTTGTGACTCCCTGGAAGAGTAGAATTGACTCACAATTCACGACGGTCATATGAGCCTTTGCGCTGATTCATCATCGACTCAGCTCACTCTGATGGGAGACTTCTGTGCGCATGTTGACATTAGATGAAGGCCGCATGTAAGCACTTGTTCCAGGAAAAGAACATTCTGATTCCCTGAAATGATGAGAACTGATTCACGACGGTCATATGAGCCTTTGC